CGCGAAGCATTCGCAAAGAGTAAACTAATAATTTTGTTTTTATAATCAAGATAAATGAATCAAATAATGAGCAGCGGCGGTAAATAATGAAAGTAATTGGCATCGGTAAATATTATTCTATCTATGCAGGGTTATACGCGGAAAATGCACCACATAAAGGCGGTTCCACCATAGAAATCAAATGGACAGGCTGACTTTAGATGGTGCATTTGTCATGAATAACTGTACGAACGATTTGTTTACCCCTTGTAGGTTACAAGGTAGATATGACTTTAATTTCGTATTGCGCATGATTAGGCTCATTGCAACATTGTACATCGAAGGAGAACAAGAACGTAAGAGAAGACAGAACGGAAGCTCAAAAATCAAAATCCCTTCACCAATTAATAAATTGGGAGTCCTCACTGCAGCTGGTTCAGCTAGTCCGTGGAGGCCAAAAACTGGATCCATAGGACAGTCGGTGGGCACAGCATCACTGCACAGTACTATCTTTCATGAACACACGTGGAAAATCCGTAGGATTTTATTCATTTTGCGATAGCGAACGCGAAAAGTATACGACCGAGAATTTCCTGTATCGTATCGGTAATACAGCCAGAAAAACTATCAACAGATAGCACAGGAGCGCGAAGATTCTTGCGCAGAACATATTCATACTCATTATCGTAATAAAGTTGTTACTTAAATCGGCTTTACTGTATGCCTAGAGTAGCTAATATTAATTGCTGCTTAGTTATGTCTACGACAAGGAAACGTTATACGTATATGATAATCAAATTTCCATTTTAACAATGATTCATTCCTTATTGCTATATAGCTGTATTTCCGTAACGCTCCGTAACATGTACATGTTTATAAATCATCAAGCTGGCACGGTAAATCAATACATCTACACCGAGAAAAAAATGTATTTTAACTGAGCGGAAGGGTTAAATATGACGAAAGTTTTATAGTTACAGAAATCTTTAAAGTTAGTGTGATGTCTACAAAAAATTATGGTATTAACAATAAGCTTAGTTATTATGTGAACAGGATAAGCGTAACCATTCGATTTATACTATTATTCATATGTATAAGTTACATAAATCATAATAGAAGTAACATAAGACTCAAAGTGAAGAACACAATATAATGCCAAATTATAATGTGTTGTACATTATTCTATCAGTCAAATACGTAACATTTTTTAATGACTCGAGGATTATACAATATACATTAGTACACGATACCACGTCATATAATCATAACAGCAATAATTTTACAATTGCAGAAATCATAAAAATTAAAATGATCATTGCTGTAAATTATAGTAACTATAACAGCCTTTGTATGTATCGGATAACATTAAAGTATTTTTGGGCAAACTTAAAATTCATAGTTACAGGAACTGTATGAGAATTGTAAACATATTTTTTTTACTGGACAATATTTAGTTACATTAATAGCATTTGAGACATGTAATTGTAACATTATAAAAACTAAACATTAACATTTATTTTATTAGTCAGGTATACGATATTTATAGTTCACTTGTACCTTCGGATACATGGATCTTCCTGCATATTGATATTTTATGGGATCTTCAATTGATTTGCTGGGAAGACTTTTCCTCATATTACATATATGTATGTATATGTATTACTAGAAAAACGAGAAATATTTTACAAGTCTATTATATATCGAGAACGAACCCATGTGAAAAATTATATATCAGTTATACATATATGAATTATTTATAATGCACATATATAAAAATGGGCATACATAATCTCTATACAATTTTTATATATGTATATACTATAGTACAGAATGAACACAGCTCTTTCTATTACATTAGAAATAAAACACGGCACTGCATTTTCCGCTTACTTTTTACATTCGTTTCATCCCGTAACATACATTAGACTATTTGACGCGAAAAATGCAGAAAAAATCCAGAAAGTTTTCAGAAACTAATGCTACAATGCAATTACCGGATTCAAGATATATTTTATGACAATTACTCGATGTCATAGGTTAAACCTAGTAGATGTTGAAAGTCAACATCAAATTGCCGTTGAAGAATTAGTGTAAATAGTATGTCTTGTCACAGGAAATTTCGTACATTTTGGTCCAAATTTGAAACATAGACTTTTTCAGGACAATTCATAATTAGCAGTAAAGATTATTTCATATTTTTTGTGTTAAATCATTTAGATACTACCATTCCTCTGAAAAACGTTCAATATTAACGTATAATAAAATAATTTTCTGTGCAATAAACGTATAACCATTCCTATCGATAAATATTTATATTTTACATATAGATCATATGTATATGCCTATTTTTATATACGATTTATATACCAGGTTATTCAGCTCAACATTCAGCTCGCACCACCTGAACATGGTTTTACCATAAGACTCAAATTGGCGCATTAACTTGAGGTGGTGAGTTTCTACTCAATTAATCTGTATACGAGATCGTATATAATTTGTATATAACCCACAAATGTATAATATTTTATACCTTCTATATCACTCCAGATTTTATTCAGTGTCACATGCCCCGCAATAGTCGATATAAAAAACAGATAAATCAAAATAGCAATAGTTGTGATAGCGATAATTGAAAAAAAAGCAATATCGTGAAATACATTCCTATGAAACGAATTGTTACGGATTCCAATTTAAAATGTTCATTTGCATCGATTTGGTATTTTAAATCCAATAAATACATGTAAGACAAAGAAGAAAACGTGGTTTACACGTTTCCTTGGAAACGTTATTTTCATATCAGTTTGTCTCTCAACATGAGTTCATAGTCATGAAAACGATTTTAAAGATTATGATCCGGTAATTTTACTTCCTCATGTAGGAAGCTATGTGACGGTGAAAAATTTTTCTTTCGAGATTTTCATGTCACCATGTTCAGAATGTGCCAAAACGTCGAGAAAACACATTTGGAGAAAATGTCTTTATCAGGGCAAGTTTCAAGAATTTTTTAAGATAAAAAATTATATATTTATCCACATGGTTTCTGAGATATAAATTAATAAAATTCAGTCATTTTACGTGAGTAGCATGCGACGAATCATGAGGACTGACAAATTTTATGCAAAAGTGCATGTTTGCAAAGAACTTACAATTGTAAATGTGTATACTACTTGCGTACATTGATGTCTTAGCTTCGCCGGAAAATCGAAAACAAAATCTAAGTGCCCACATTTTAAGAAGGACATTACATTTTAGCATACACTATTTTCTCTAGCCGCCGATTGGGAGACACTAGACTTGGCAACGTACCCTTTGGTCCAATGGCGCGCGCGCTACTCAAGCGCTGTTTGAATTTTGCAGCTTGTCGCACATTTTCTCTCCATTATTTCTTTCTTTTTCTCGCAAACCTTTCGAGCGGACACCGAAATCTTGTACCGTTTGACCCATCTAACAAGTCCGCCATAGTTTATTTACACAATCTGCAGCTTGCCGGACACGTGCATGTGGATACCGGGCGTTGAATGCAATGCTACCGACGTTGAAATATGGCAACGCTGCTGAGACGATGTGCGAAAATAATGCCCGGATAAAAACAATGTTTTTCAGCGCATAAAATTACATTCCTCATATCAAAAGTAATAACTAATCACATTGCAACTACCTTTGAAAATTCAAATCAGTACATTGATTATGTAAACCTCTAATATTACGTAGTTTTCTGAACAAATGTATATTTTACATATCTTTATTGTCCTGTATATGCAATTTCAAGATATTCCATATAAAATTGGTACACGACACAACAGTAGATGATTAATTCCCTTAACAGATTGTTGACGGGAGACGTGAATCGGCCTTCTTCATTTCTCAAGCGTCGAAAATGCGTGAGAACTGAGGCTCGATCCGTTTCGCAATATACTGTCAACAATGTGATAAGGGGCCATAGGAGTACATAAATTTCGAAAAATAATTTTTTTATATAATTGTAGACGTTTTATATACCACGTTTAGCTGATTAAATATTATATAAGTTCTATTAATAACGCTTCACGAACCGGAAAATTCTACTGCAAACTTAAACTGCGTTTTTCTCGATACTACATTTTTCAACAGGATTGCCTTGGCTAGTAATGAACGGAGATTCATAGGGACGTTAAATTTACGAAGAATATTTTTAATATTTTCTTTTAACGGCTGAATCTCGTAAATTAACTCTTTTCGGACGTATTAAAGTTGGTTATGGGTGTCGTACTGGTCGGAATTAATTTCCGTTGAAAAAGCAGTGATACATAACATGCAAGATTACGAAAAATGAACAAGATTTATTAATTCTTTTGACAACTTCAGTTTTTGATTAGTACGGTTTCTTGTCGTGGTGGCTGAGAGCAGACATACGAACGGAACGGTAAAAAGGCTTTGGTGGCTGAGAGTAGACATACGACCGCAAAAGGTTAATGAGAAAAATCTGTAACGTTGTTATAAAGAAGTTAAGGCTGAATATTTTGACATTTTTCGAAATTGTTACTCAGCTATGCGCCATTTTTTCAATTATTTTTTAAAACTAATTATTTCGGTTCATCAAAAATCTGCATTCATATAAATAATAATCCAATACATTTGTTTTCAAATAATTATTTCGACCCAAATCATGGTTGTCGTTGGTCCACGCTAAGAAGGAAGACCTTGATACGAAAGAAAATATCTCCGCTACTTTTTAATATTTTTGAATAATTACATGATTACAATTCTACGTATATAGAAATATATTTTTAATTTTGGTTTTAGTCAAGTTATTACTTGTCTTGAAATCCCTCCTTAAAGCAAGTAGACATTTTTGTCGTTCAATAATCCTATAAAACCTCAATTTTTGCAATATACATAAAATATCAAATACAATATAATTGTGTAATTCATAATAAAAAAATCAACATTGTAACAACACGAAAAAACTACAACATGTTCTTTTCATGTAATTTGTTTTTCATTAAATTGCATAAACCATTCTGTGTACATGTATTTTTCAGTGAGCAGCTATGCAGCAGTGCTTGGTCAGCAAGGACCAGTTTTTATTTTGGAACCACCTAGTATGTTGATCTTCTCCAATACGACTGGCTCCCAGTTGAGTTGTTCAGCTCATGGTAGTCCTACTCCGCACGTTACTTGGATTTCAAGTTCCGATCAAAGATCCGTCACAGCAGTTCCAGGTCTCAGGTGAGTATTTCGTTTAAATTATCCTAAATAACAACATAAATTAGTTCAATCTAATACCACAAGAATGCTAGATCTCACTTTTAATGTCAGCTATAAAAAATTCATAATCATATTATATACACTATATGATTATTTGCAATGTTAAACTTAATGGATCGAAAATATCGTAATTAAATATAATTAAATTAAAATTAAAGATCTTTGTAAATGTCATTTCAGGCAGCTCCTTGGCAACGGAACTTTGTATTTCCCGCCATTTTTAGCGCAGGACTTCCGAGCAGAAATTCACAATGCACGGTACAGGTGTCGGGCCACGAGTTCTGTCGGTACTGTACTCTCCAGAGAAGTTACACTGCGTGCCGGTGAGTCAATTTGTACTATTACCCTTTTGTGTTGCTACATTTTATGTAGTATTATATATTTTATATTGAAAAAAAACGACAGAATACGGAAATTATATATTTTATTGTTTTTGTAGCACCGTTAAAAAGCAAAGGAATATTGTCCATTTTTGTGAAAGTACATGAATAACACGTGCTTTCTTCTATTTGCCTTGTAGCTTTGCCTCAGTAAACAGATCAAGTGACAATAAACTAATAAACCTGAATAAAATGTTATAATTAAAAATCCAGATCAAGACGTACTTAAGTTATATTACATTAGGAGGCCCAGCAACATAATGACCTTTTATGATCATCAACTTTGTTCTATTACACCTTTGTATAGCTGTTCTTCATTCGATTCGTAGTTTTTTTTAATAGATAGAACCTTTTTTTTCCTAAGACTTATGTCGTTATCAAGCATATTAAAGATTCATTTGAGATCCGTAATATTACGTCTTCTACGAACATAAGCCTGAACGAGCCAAAATACACTAGACAGTTTCAACTAGAAACTGTTCGTTCTGTAGTCTCTTCGCCTGCTCCTTCTCCGCTCCTCTTTCACTCCCATTCGCTCAAGCCTACAATTTGCCGTTCCATGCGCTGTTCATTAAAATATAGTCCTCCCGGCCACCGTTAATTACGTGCTTAATTATTTAAATGAATGACCTCACATTCATCAACATTTTATTTTGCTTTTCCTCTTTTTATCTTTCGTCCTTCTTTTTTTCATCACAGCTACGCCCCTTTACCAATTTCTCCAAGGCCAGCTCACCCATTTGGATACACTAAGTTTTTTCTCACTTTCCTTCCACTCGTCCTATCCTCACCCTCTTCAACCCTTACCCACACGCACAACGATCACTCTCTATTTCATCCTACAGACCCTCTGAACTGCGTCACATGCAAGCGCATACTTAATTAAGCGAAACGTCGGCGTCGCGACGCCGGGGTGTACGTTGCATATGAAAGGCCCGCCGCAAGTTATCTAAAATGACATCGACGACTGCCGACCAATCCGCAAAGGCCTTCATAGAGACTTCATTGCTTGGCTTGCTTGTCCACTCACATTTGTTGACATTATAGACATGCGCTCATAGACAAGAAAGTTTCAATTTTTCTATAAAAAAAGGCATCTTAACCGTTTTTTTAATAGGCAAATTAATAATCGAACGAAGGCGCAAAAACATAGCTGATTCACTGGAGTAAAGATAGTGATGACATTTGAGATTGGAGTCTGAAGAATTGGGCGGTGATATACTCTTTGTGCTCACCGAGCACGCGTTAAAGGGAGATCAGTCAGAGGAGGCAGAGACTAATTATTTTCTTGTGCTAGAACTTGATTAATTACGTTCGTTTAATGTAAATAAAATAAACATTTCTACTTCTGGCACCTTCCAAATGAAAGTTTCATAACGCTTATTAGGTTATTTTCTTTTATTATCTTTCATACATCTTTTTGTATTATTTTATTAGCACAGCCTAATTATCATATATCTTCTATTGAGATCTGAATTAGTAATTACCGATCATATATGATCTTCATGAGTGTGAAAAGAAATTTTTAGAGCTATCAAAATAAATTCTTGCAGAATTTAATTAATTATTCTTTTTCATTTCTCGTCTGGTTTAGGATTTTTAAGTATTTCTCTACGAGTACAGTAGTTTGATAACGTTTTGAAGATAGCTTCGAAATATTAAGAAATTATCATGAATATAATTTTCTGCATCGCATACCTTTTGTGGAATACTGCGGGCGAAACAATTGCAAATAACGCATGGAAAACCGCAATAAATAATAACAGCAACTATAGTATATAGCTGCAAAACTTTAATTAAAGTTGAGTAAAGAGCGTAAGGACGCACAAACAGAACAACCAATTAATAACTCCACTTTGTCGCTGGACGTCGGTGCGATGGCGCTGCAGTCACACGAGAGAGTACGCAATAAACGAACGTCAAACAACTTATACTCTGATCGAACCAGCCGTAGGTAGTTTTGGATCTGCAGAATATGTTTCAAAAACTTGAGATGAAAGTTAGGTTAGGTCAGATCCCTGGTCGATACCGTGCTCTGAGCTGTCAGCTTCAACATTCTGCCATTGGAGTGTAAACGTCATTTCACGTGACCATTCTTAGATTAAAAATTTCAAGAGACTGTAATAGTATATCTTATCACATATACTTTCTCTTGATTCATTACTTTATTAATGGCATTTTGATATGTGGAAATTTCAGAAAACTAGTAGAAAACGTAATTGTATATCTGCTCCTACCTATAGTGTCGCAATTCACACTCTTCTGACAAAAGTATTATTAAGTTAGGTTAGGTTAGATTTATTTCTATAGAAACTGAATGGTCCTCTCGAAAAAACGACGAGAGCAACCGAACAATGATTCCAGGATTGGTTCCTTCACGAGCAATGGCCGCCCCTATCTCAGAATGGAGTCAGACTGTATATATGAAGAATACTTTACAAAGACGGCGAACTAAAAGAAGATTACGTTGCGCCAAAGGAAAAAGTCACCAAATGTCCGATATGAAATCATTTAAACTACTACTAATATGCTTTGCAATTTTCTCTCTCCTCCCTCTTCCTCTGTCTTTCGTATGTCTTGCATATTAAACGAATATATTTTAAATAAATTACATTTTCAATAAACAAATTTTTTCAAAAATAAAAATATCAACCAACAATAACTAATAGTTTCCATATTATTTTAATAAAGCACTCATTTCGAACGATTACATTCATTACGAACGGCATTCGATTGTTAATGCGGATTGGCCATATTCATATGTATAATTCGTTTTAAATATGAATTGGTTCAAAATAACATGAACATTAAAATTGAAACATTTTTCCTCTAAAACGCCTTTCCAAATTTCCTCATTTTCATCTTTCCCAACATTCAATTTTTCATGGCAGATTTTTTTAGCTTATTTCTGTTTATAGTCTGGTCTTGAAATTTTCAGAAACTAATCAATTTTTGAATCTTCCGTGGAGCCAAACAAATTTTAAAAAACCAGATCTATTGTATTTCACTTTTTTCCGAGTGCCTTAGAAGTTTCCAATCAATAGTGCATTTGCGTAAAAGCTCAAAATGAGTTCTCCGTTGGATGAATGTCTTTCTCATAATCTACAGTTTCCTACTATATGTATTCGTGTTTTTTAATTTTGAGAACGGGAGCGCAAACATTGCGATAAAAAGCATGTGGAGTCCGTTGAACCCCGTAGTACAGTTTGTGTACCAAAAAAAGAAATCTATAGATCCAAGTTAAACAAACGTTATAAAAGATTGTCTAAAACATATCATAGCAAAGATTATATAATTTTCTAATGAAGAATTTCAAATTATGAAGGACCATAAGTTTGCGCCTTTTGTTAATAGCATCAATATCACCAATATCATTAACGATAAACCTCCCTTACCCCATGAGAACAACGAGACCGTGAAATGAAATGGAGCGTCGGAAAATGACTTGATCAAATGAAATGAAATGTGCAAATGAAGCGAATATCATCATGCCTCGAGGCGACCACCATGATATAGGTATCGCCGCCCCAGATGATTCGGTAATTTTCATTCCTGGATAACCGGATGGTACCAGTGAGTTTCGCAAATGCTCATAAAAGATTCTTTCAAGATTGTGAATTCCGATTACGCCTATTTGACGTCGATACTCACTCGCTACTGTTACATTCCAACCTACCGTGATGCAACTATTTATGTGGTTAATATTGTTGTCGAATCAACTCTAATGGAAATTCTTGTTTTATTGAGCAATAAATCGTGATACACAATGATAAATATGATTGATAGAAGTACGAGATAGACTAATTAATTGTAACTGAATGCGAGTACTATTTCCTTGAACACCTCGCTGCTTCGGAGTTGTGTAGGAAAGTTCTTTACTTCGCGATTTCGATCTTAAGACTGATCTTCTTTTCCATGTCAAAAGTGTCGCTAATTACTTTGTTGTCGGGTGTTTTGGGGGTGAAATTGACAGTTCTCAGGCTACACGTGTCGGAGGGGAAGGGCCCGTTAAGAAAGTAGCGGTAAAAACCCTGGCTATTCTCTAGCTTCGTATAGCATGTCTATGCGAGTAATAAACCCTTCGTGAACGTCCCCGCGAGTACATGTCAAAACCAATGATGCTTGAATCATAAAACGCAGTCATAGTCTAAAAGTACGACTGACAGTAATAAAACATCCGACAACTGGCTGTGTCATGGCGCGACTCGCTGACAATTCCTTTACCTAAGTGAAGGTACAAGTTCACGTATTTCTTTACTTTACGCCAGCCAGTTACTGTTGCGAATTCCCCAAACCCACCAAGGAAGATATATTTTAATATTCATTTGCTACAGCGTCTCATGCGACCCTCCATCGGAAATCGTTCGAAATATCTTTAGTCGACTTATAAGGATATATAAGGATAAGTTTAGCCTGATCTAACGGGAGCTCACTTGGCTCGATCTACCCTTACTTAATTTACCATTTTAACTTTCTTTTATGTATCGGCAGGTGATCAATATACTCAATAAGTGTCATCGTTCAAAAAATAGATTTTTTAATAATTTGCACGCTACACGAGTTGTACACGGAAAAAACAAAACAATAATGGTTACTAGTATGGATTGTAGCGAGTTCTAGGTAACATGAAAAAATAAGCTATAGACAACATGGGATAGGATTGACTATTTCGAAGACACCAAATCTCTGCCGAAGATAATTCTTATTGGATTAATTAGTGACAAATACTTTGCTGAAAAATGAGAATCTCTGCTGGGATTCATTGCTAACTAGACTGGTAGCCACTGTTGTTCTCTTTCCGCCGTGAAATATTATATTTCAGATTAATATTACAATATTGTCATTTGCGTTTCTTTGCAGTGCTTACTGTTTCTGGGTACGACGTGCGTGTAAATCGAGCACACGTTGTAGCAGGTTGCAATGCAGTATTGACGTGTACTACACGTGAAGATGTCCGCGAACATCTGACAGTTACATCGTGGTTTAAAGACGATGCAATCTTACTGCCAGGAAGCACAGATACTGGTAAGTCATATTTGATATACTTTCTAACCTAGTCAAGCTCGCTATCAATTCTTAGCAGCAACAAAACAACAGATAGTATTGTTTATAAATCATATTTCAATATAAAATCAAGTCCATAAAATAATTGAAAAATCAACAAGTCGATATTTTCATACAAATTACCAGAAACTACTAACAGATTGAAATTAGATTATAAAATTATAATTAAAGGCTCATCTAAGAATCACAGTATACAGCGTGAGTTATCCTGGACTCCGAATCCGGGAGAAGCCTCCGTATGTATTACGTGCGCTCTTCTCCAATTAGATTACCCGCACCTACAGGGATGGTGTTCTTGATATTGTATTATAAACATGTCAGGGTACTGATCCGCACGGCAGTTTTCTATTACCTGAAGGTGCGAGCAATCTGATAGACAAACAGCGCAACTAATACATACTTCAAAATTAACATAATTTATTTATGACTTATAAAATAAAATATTCTAAGTTTAAGGAAATTTATCCATGTCATTATCAAGGACGTATTACACAACTGATAAAAAATTATACTGATATAATTATACAAAAATTGCTTAAAGTTTTAAAAAACGTAGTTTGTTATTGTTTACATCCATTATTCAAAATATAAAATAATAAGTTACATTATTTGATTATAAATGTACAGCTCCTATATCGAAACCAAAAACGATAATTACTGTAATAATTGCATCAATATCGTACCTTACAGACCACATTAAGGAGAAGCAAACCTCATGAGATTAAGCAACCACTATAATAAAGCGGCATTACTTACATGAATTCTCTCTCACGTGTCCACACTGTCCCTAATAAAACCGTAATTAATCAGCGAATCTTGTGTCGTTTGAAAGCGCACCAAATTTAAATAGCACGTTTGTCCCACCCGGTGTACAGGGACGCTTAAGCATTCATGTTCCATACATATTTATGCCGACCAGTTACACGTGACAGGTACATGTACGTGCATACATGTACATAGACGGATAACAAGATGAGATGGCAGGGTGAACCAGTTCACACATGTGTACATGCATGCAGATGAACTGGTATTGAGATGAATAGTCGGGTTATCATGGAGAACATCACGTCGTGTCGAGCAGTGATACGTTTGTTTCGTAAGTAGGTAACTAACGCGATATCTACATGTATGCTGTGCAGCGCGAACCGCATAGTGTCCACATGCGTATAACCGCCTATATTAGTATGCACGTAGATATATGCCACATGCATGCATTAGTCGAAACGTGTTATGTCCTCTATCCAATGTGCATTGCTATGACGTGGATAGACGTCAGGATAGCACAACGCGTTCGTCCCAACTTCATCTTCCCACATGGCTTTTCCATGGAATCCCATACCATCGACGTTGCTCTTACCTCGCCGATTATTCGGTGTCGTCTTCTCAATGCCAGTTTCATGATAAAGATTGAGGAATATCGTGGTGGCGATAGAGAAAGCTAATATGAGTAGGAAGGGTCCGCTAAGTCACAGTAGGCGAACATCACACGGAGAAAAGAGTATAGAAATATTTATCAGACGGCCGAGTGTGAGCACTAATGAGGGGCACATAGACCTTTGTAGTTACGAGGCGCAAACGAAAAGTAATTATTACTGAATTAGTCGTAACGATGCAGTTTAACAAAATACATTGAAATAAACTTTTAAATACTGCCTAATACTACTAAAGCTGTAAGTTTTGATTTCTGTACGATATGAGAATTTTGCTTAGACAGTGTTGTAACGTGACAAATCGATCAACCTCTCAGTACTCCTGTACTAAAATCGCACTTGTTACAAGTAAACAATGAGGACGCGCGGCTAGTGTCAATAATAGCCTATAGATAGAAAACCGCTGTCTCCTAAGGACATCCTCGCCAGCTCTTATGCGGTGGGGTCCTGGTTCTGGGAGACAATATCAAAATCTGAAAACTGGGGAGGTTCACTCTAAAAAATTACGACGAACAAATAGTAAGGTTTCCCAAATAAAATACGGAACCAGAATCTGGCCCGAGTAATTAAACAAAACAAGAGAAAGAGATGGAACAACGGTTCCTGAACAAACTATACGAGCTTTACATAGAACGGGACCGTAGGTCCTTCACGAGAATTATTAAGCCGGCGGTCCCGAAGACCTATGGGCAAAATAATATCTACAAATTTGCAAGATGTTCATATTATAAAAACATATATCGTACTCGATACGATACGGAAGTACACTATATGTATACAATGATCCTCACAGAATATACAAGCAACAGAATGTTATACAGAATTTAATGTTAACGAGTACTAACGGACTCACAATACCCCTGCGCTAAGGAAACGACTCCGCGAGGCGTGGACTGTATAGGCGGAAACGCAAAACCACAATTTGACCCATAAACGATATTAAACAGTACCGAACCTCCAGAGTGCCACCGATGAGCAATCCGCGGGTACAAAATATATTCGATCCCGGTAAAGTAGATCCTAGTATCTTTCGTGGTTCGGATGGCTGCAGTGATGTTTTCGGGAGGCGGGATCACATCTACCTCTGCTCCCTCGATGGATGGCTCCAAGCCGTTGCTGCAACTTCCGTATGTCCTCTGGATCGGTGAGATCGTCGAATATCCCGCGCAGCTGGCCTCTTAGGGTGTGTGCTCCAGTTTGGTTGTCGCATCAACTCGCCAGCGCGCTCCGCCAGGGCCGTAGTTGACACTCTCGAGGCCCGTAGTATTCGAATTTCGACAGGATCCTTCCGGATCCGCTTGAAAAATATAAAACGCAAAAAACATTTCCACGAGAGAAATAAGGATAAATTTAACAAATAGTATAGAGTCTAAAGAAACGAAATCCCTTTCTCACGCATAGGGCTCCACGATGTAGCCGGAAATCATAAAATGTTACGTTGTGTGGCGTGCATATCGAAATGCCACGTTACAGCATATACAGTATATGAAATTTCGTATACAAATATGTAAGAATATAAAGTTACCGGTATATAAAAAAGAATGAAATATTTTTCTAATGACTACACAAGCGTATTAAATTAACATTATGATGGATGAATATTCGAAAACACAATTCAAAAATTAATTTACTCTAATAAATTAAATTCAATTTCCAATCGATAAATTTCGATAATTAATTGGAAGATAAAGTTTGAAAATTAACGTACTCCTATATATTAAATTTTGATAGGTTATCTTTATGTCTGTTCATAAATCCGCAGCGTATAGGGCATCAAATGAAAAATATTAGTGTTCAACTATTTCCGTTACTAGATGTATGGGGCATACTCCATGAAATCGACGACTTTAATTATAAACTTTTCAGATACCTGCCATTATAATTTTTAATTCCATATTGTGTAATTTTCAGATTTCCATATTTAATATGTTATTTAATATACACACATCTTTTTTACATATTTCATCTTTGAAAAAACATGGAAAAGATTTCTTTACTGATGACGTGGAGTTATCAAACACGGATCCGTTAACATTCATTTGAGTTTTATCAAAATTTCAAAACAGGGTATAAATTGCTTTTGTAGATACAAATAATATAATTTTTGTACACAGATCATGGAAGTTTGAATACCAAATACAATAATTTCAGAATGCAAGGATGAAATTGAATAATAAATTTTTAATTTTCCATTGCATCGTGTTAAAATTCAAAATTCATATACATGATGTGTAATTTTACCACAAGTATTGTAAGTGGATCGTAAATTGTGTAACAGCATTGAAAAGAATTTTCAATAGTTTCTTGTAGTTATCAAAGACACTCTGTTAACTTACAATCGAATTAAATTAAAAAAAAAAAAAAATATATTAATTACTTTTACTCTTACAAAGCACATTATTTTAATATATGCATCCATTAATTTTCAATATCATCTACATCAATTTTAATATTCAAGCATTAAATTCAAGATTAAATTATTAAGTTTCCAATGCAAGGTACATGACGTCTCATTTGATATATCTAGTTTTTACATTTCATACGAGATATAACTTTCTATACATATTAAACATGTTGTAAATTTCATAAAATTTTTAACAGTTTTTGTTTAATATATGAATGATTACAGTACTTTACTACGCTATCCAATCATAATTCTCATTGCGTGCAAGAATAAAAACGTACAGCTTTATAAAATTTTTTCTACAGATAGCATTAATTGATAGCTGGTTATTATCAAATGCTCATTTCGATGTATTTTGCTAAACTAAATGTATTACGAGTAGTTCGGTAATCATTAGTTTTCATTTCGGTCTCATCATTATAAAGGAATATGTATTACAAATTCTGAGCCCTAATACTCAGCTATTTAGTGAATACTTCTATACTCTTTTCTCCGCGCACATAACATCTCGTTTATTGACAATTTACCATTATCTCCCCTTACGACACTTGTATAGCAAAACTGCCAAATCGAACTTCACTACATGAAGTACCATATAATCCCGTAGGAGTAAATAGCAAGCGTCCAAGCATGTAGCCCTGGCGAACTTGTGACAAAGGAAATTTGTTCCTTCCTTGGGATTTTCCTAGGTCTATACTGGCTGTCCTGACTGATTGGAGGAAACCGTCTTATCTTTGGTGGCTACCATAAAGAGTACAGTATCGTTCTGTAACATCAATTTATTGTTCAAAATCATAAAAGATGTGTGATTATTGTTACTTCTACGAATCTGGTACTGTACCAATACCACTAATAGGAGTCGTTCAGTTCTTCATATCCTCTATGCCCTCCCTACAAAGGGGGAACGACGCGACAAGCAAAGGCTAACACCGGCCAATTGTAAAATATTGACTCCAACGCATATAATGTGCATCACAACGGCGGACTGCGAGCCTTCTAAATCGTGGAAATCAACCACTAATTAATTCTTCGTCTCTCAGACCGATTTCCTTTCGTCCAAAACTCCTTCATCGCGGCGTATCCTCTTCGGCAGTGGTTCCTTTGATCCTGCAATGGAGCCATCGCTTTTTTATCTCAAAAAGTTACCGGTTAACCGTCACGATGATTTGTGACAGGCAAGCCGATTATGGAACAGCAACGTTACATAACAATCCGAAGAGTTTCCTCGGCACTAGTGTGCAAAAAAGGGAAGGCAATAGGGATGCTCTACAGCATGGTAAATGCAATAGGCAGAAGTTATCCTTGGTAACAAACCTTCGTCATGAAACATAATAAATTGAAGTACTGCACAGTCTCACTAGACATACATGTGTAGGATCTTATATGAACCACGTGAAATGATCAACCAGTTATTCATTTTATATTTAAAACATTTATCCCGAAGAGTCTTTTAATAGTGTCTGTAGTACTTGTTTTACTGATGAATAAATTTGACCAAGTACACTGTTTTGAGCCAAAAATGCTGGACAACGTTAAATGTTGCTATTTTATTTTCATTAAGAATTTGATTTTTCCTCTAAATTTCAACACAATTTGCTTGAGTTGCTTGTTCGAAATTTTGATTACGAACATTACACGTACGCACGCGTGCGCGCACAGACGCACACGCATCCTCTATTTTTCTGATGACAATTTCATAAGACCATTTTACGTGTTCTATCCTATTGCTCTAAATAATTTAATACAATACCGAAATTTGTATACTCGGATCATCCTACTTTATCCTCTTCGTTGTTATTGTTATAGGTGGGAGATTCGTGGTAACATCACAAGGTGAACTTCATATAAGAGCAGCTAAGCCAGAAGATGGCAGGGCAAGATATTCATGTTTAACGTTACACGCACTAACGGGCGAACGTAGAAGAAGCGAACCCGCTACTTTAACAGTCACAGGTAAGTGATCCACAAAATGTTCATATATCAAAGTTTAATACTTCAACAAATATTTTATGTAGAAATGTAGTTAGGCATTCAAGGAACTATTGTATCATGAAGCACAACGAGATATACACCCTCACAATGAAATAGATTTTCGATTCAACCACATAAAGAAACATGTAATATGTATAAACATTGGTATTATATTTGACAAAATAAAACCGCATGCATTGTAGATTTAATTTTTATTGATTGTTGGAGTCTGTTTGCATTGATTGCTGATAATTTATATTTAGAAAAATTCGGTTTGTCTACTGAATAGTAATGTTTTCTATAAATGGCAAATTGTATTATCCTCATTCCATAATTGTGAGGCCGATAATATAATGACGACAATTTTGAACAAAATTTGTCTTAGTAGATCTATTTCCCTTTTTCTTTAGTAAAGATATGACATACTAAAATGATCAGACGATGATCAATAAGAAATATAAATAATACAACAAATTAAGTCGAAACTATCATAAATATTGAATAAAATTCACCAATCTGTTTAATTAACACTATATATTAATTACAATATATTGAAGAAAGAGATTGTTATTGTTAAATCACAGGACAAAGAGATTTATTGTACGCAGGCGCCATTTTGGAATCATAAGTACCAAATATCTGAAAATATTAGTGTGCATCCCGAAGTCAATTTTTACGGTAAATTTCCATTCAATTCATTTAGCAGTTCGTCTGGAATTTGGAATTGATCATGCGTAAGGAATGTAGATTGTTACAGATATAATAAGAACATAATATCTCTGGAAAAAATATTAAAAAATCACTTAGTACGTGCGAAAAGGAAAGAATAATAATTTCATCTACTCTTTTTTATGCCTAGTTTCCTTTTATGTGAATTTATTCAGACAAGAATTGAGTCAGCATTTTAAATCAGAAATACCAAGTTACACTTTTTGATGAAGTCAGCAACAAATTAATTGCATGTGGATGCGAATCAGGTATTCTTATATCGTGATTGCGTTCTAGAACCTGTTAACCCTTACAATTTCAATCACGCGTATACGCACAAAAAGTTGTGCCATTTTTATGCATGACAGTTATTTTTTAAAAAATTATTTTTCCAGGTTGCACGAAAACGCACGAAGATAAAATAAAAACATCTATGTGAAAAGTACAAAAATTTCAAAAAATGAAATAAAAAGAATATACTAAAATTTAAATAAATACACGATGGAGTGAAAATCTGTAGGTCCTCGTTTCTTGATGTTGATTTCGGCAAAAAGCAATGGTATATTGAACTATTACATTAATTCAATATTACAAAAGATATTGGATGATAATGTTTGTTGTCAAATTTGGAATCAGTGACCCCAAAGCATTAATAATGAAATTATCACGTAGATCTGATAACTTCATTTTTTCCTTCTTCATAAAGGAAGCTATGTGACGGTGGAAAATTTCCTGTCGAGATTTTCATGTCACCATGTTCAGAATTTGCCAAAACGTCGAGAAAACACGTTTGAAGAAAATGTCCGGATATATGTGCGTACGCGCGCGCTTGTGTGTGTGTGTTTGTGTGTGTGTGTGTGTAATAGCCTTCCAAAATTCCAACGTGTATAACTCGAGAACGGTTTTAGCTACAGCCCTCCAGTTTTGCAGGCATGTGTCGTTCTATAATCGCCATGATTCAAGCTGCGGCTCGGATTTTATGTCGTTTTCAAATTCCTAAAAAAAGGACGTTATCACTCTAGCGATCGCAAATTTTGTGATAATCGTCTAAATAATTCTTGACAAAGAGATTTGTATCCAAGGTTGGTTGGTATTACATTTGGGCCAAATCTTTCGAGAAGTTTTTGATTTTATATTTTAAATTTTCCGAAAAATTAAATTTATCAATATAACTTCCGTCAACTTTGACCGATTGAGCTTAAATTTTTCAAAAATATAGAGTATCATTTAGCCGAGATATGTCTCCTTGGCTGAGATCGGCAAAATGGATCTGATTATACATATCTTCACGTTTTTTAATTTCAGCCGATTCAGATATATTAGGTCCGAAGAAATCATGCAAGAGATTTATCCTTACATGCGTTCTCTACAGTATGAAGCACCTCAAGTTGTGAGAGGCATGGGGACTCATGTTAAACAAGCTGCAAGTTGAAACTAGCAATTTGCTTCCTCTGAATCGTAAGTAGGGTACGAAGTCCCTATATGAGGAAGCCAAAGATTAAAAAAAAATGAAAATGCTTCCTCATATAGGGACTTCGTACACTACTTACGATTCAGAGGGAGCAAATTGCAAGTTTCAACTTGCTGCTTGTTTACATGAATATGACACAGAAAGTTAATTTTTACTACAATGCGAAGGGATGAATAATGGTATCTGCCGAGTGTTCTATAGCACTTGAATCGAAATACGGAATCATAGTAATAAATGTTTACAATTATACACTACAAGCTTCAATAATACTAGTCGAAAAATAGTATTGTACTGACTTTAAAAAATTCGCAAAATTATGCAAAATTATGTTATATTACGCTTGGCATTGAAGTTTATGCAAACCTTTTTTAATAAATAATTATCGAAGTAGTTCATCGAATCAAAATACTCGAAAACACTTCAAAGGACGATTCCTCGCAGAAAAATTGCATAAAAACAAAGAAGTCTTTGTATCAATACCAAAATATATTTTAAAAGACATTCCCACTGGGACAACGTAAAATCTAAGCGATATTCGGTATGAAATGATACTGATAATGACTCACGTACCCGTGCAATGAAAGAAAAAAAAAGAAAGAGATCTAACTTCCGTTTGCAACCGTATTAGCAATCCTTGGATCCATAGCAATCCGAAAACCGTATAATCCCAAAATACAATAAACAGTTTAAAACTGTACAAAAACAACAACATGTCTATCCCTGAGCCAAATCATGCCGTGAGTAAAGCTATGAATTTCGAAAATGGCAAGTATTCCTCAGAGGCGCGTTGTAATACACCCACTAGTCCAATTAGATGCATGATTAGATCGACTTCGGCCGAGCGCTCGTAATCTTGATTTGTTTCGCCGAAGTCAAACAAATAGATCCTGGTTTTGGGGTGACTGTAATGTTGTTTTTGGGACGCAGTAATGTCCATCCACCTATATTCCCTCGATCTACAGTTTCATGCTGTCTCTGCAGCTCCCAGACTCCCTCGGGATCTTGAAAACACAGTTGGATCCGCCGGGTGTGACTTCTGGTCCTGACATCCCTTCTACTCAACAACACTTCGCCAGGCCCGTACTTGGCTCTTTGGAGTCCCATAGCACATAATCAAATTTTTACTTTATCCTCTCGGATCCGCTCAAAAATCTCGAAAGAAATAAAAACACGTTCTCGCATAAAAAATAGATACAAATTGTAATTCACAATCAGCCCAACGCCATGCGAAACGGTTTGTATCCCGTGGGACCTTACGATGTTGCCCAAATTTGAATAGCTTGTGACTTCTATTTTGATGCACGTCAAAAGGTATAACTCTTACTTTGTGCTATTATCGAATGAAAAATTGTCATCTACGCGCGTTCTTAAATATAATCGGAAGGAACATGTGCGATTCACTCATTATTAGATAACAAGTAGAGTGAAGTGTCAAAAACCAAAGTAGAATCACAGCTCCGAGCGATTTTTATTAGAAATAAAAATGGAACTACTCTGGCAAACGCGGAATTTTTTTTGACATTGTATTGTAACCACCTCAGTAATATTCAAATGAATTAACAAAAATATACAAATTATGTTTTCTATTTGCCATCCATTAATCTAATTTGATTACGCTATTGCAGATAATTGATTGACATGGGGTCTCAATTGATATTTTAACCTAGAAGATTACATCAGAAAATAACGCACACTCATTTACCGTGAAAAATGGCCTAGCGTAACCGTCACGGTTATCGCAAACATGGAACACATACACATATGAACTTCAACACATTCATGTATAATTAGTATTGTTCTATAAAAAATTATTTATAAGACAATCTTTATTACTCATCTAAAAAACTGTAGAAGATCCAAATACTTAATTTTTTGACCACGCAAATTTGAAAAAGGATCTCATTTTGTGTCACATTCTTGTTCAGAATTTCCTCTTCAATACCCGATCAACACTTACCTTTAACTGTTCGGCAGAATTTATTTAAAGACTTTAAATTGTTTCAATAGGAACATCTGTTTACGAATAGACTTTGATTCTGTTTTAATCGCATCAGTAGCGATACATCAAGTGATTTCCTCTCTATACAGCTTCTTCCGCAACCTCTAAAACATTACATACGAATTGAATAATTCAAAAATTACCTATTTTTAAACAACATTTTAACACGTTCACAGTGTAACAATTTCTAAAAATATATAGATATATTCCTGAAGAAGAGAGTTGCATACGTGATGAGGAATGCAAATTAAAATATAAATTTATTATACTCCGTCTGATGATCTATTTAACCTGTTTTAATATAGAAGAAAGTGGTTCCATGCCCCCGAGACTTATGCAGCGTGCACAAATTGCAATATCATCTGAGAGGGGTTCAAACACACATCTTACATGTTCTGCACAAGGAAATCCAGCGCCACAATTTACGTGGTTTCGGGATATTAATGGTTCGTTAAGAAAATTATATTTTTTTTTTGTTATTGCGACATTTCATAAAACGAACATTCTTATTTGCTAACTCACTTCATTATTTTCTTTATATTTTATGTATTAATATCAATTCTGGTCATTATATACATATATAGTTATTCATAAACGCAGCGACCGTAGTTAATGTGTGCTTTTGACTTCTTCAGTAACAAAAGCCTCAATTTGCGAATTAGTTCTGATTAATACGCTTTATTATGTGAATAATGAGTTTGAATTATGAAAATTATGAATATTATTATTATGTTATATTATTCTTATATTATATTAAATTAGTAAATTATTCTCCATGCAAGTTATGTGCTTTGATATCTCATAATTTTTGACAGGACATTCGGTTCCGGTCGAGTCATCTGGTAGGATACAGCTTTGGGGTGATTTAATGGAAATTCGTCGCGTTGACGCACAGGACGCAGGACGATATATCTGCAGAGCTACCAACCAATTCGGCGAACAACAAGCTGAAACCCACTTGTCGGTCACTTCAAAGCTCGATGCCCATATTCAGCCGCAATTTCAGGTCTGACGAAAAAAAAAAACATTCATTTATTGATTTATTCTATCTACTGTAAAATGTTAACGAGTTCCTTTATTCGTATTAATGTAAAAGGAATTTATTTACATTAATTTTCCCAAATTTAAAATGTCAACTTATTACTTACTCGAATGAGTTACGTTATGTAAACTTAATATAACCCTTCATGCACGTGCGTAACCGTTCCTTCCGCCATTCTTAAGTACCCACATTTGCAGCTGTTTCTTGAACACTAAAATAAAACTGATGGTCTATTAATGTCAAAGCGTAATGTTGCAGGTTGTTAATTCAGGCGACGTTGCCACATTGAATTGCACGGTCGAAGGATATCCAGTTGAGAGCGTTGAATGGCTGCACGATGGGCTACCTGTGTTGACTGCCCAGGACACTAGAATACGACTGTTAGCACCGTTGGTTCTTATTGTTGGTTCGGTAGGTCGTAAGGACAAGGGAATGTACCAGTGTTTGGTCCGAAGCGACAAAGAAAATGCACAAGCAACAGCTGAGCTGAAACTTGGAGGTAGAACGAAATACGTTAATGTTTCAACAAATATACCTGTATTTGACTTTAGAAGTAACCAAAAAAAAAGAAGCGCCTACAGATAACTTGAATAAAAAATGAGTGAATTTCCAGCAGTAAGAATGCGCTCAGTGATAGGTTCACTGTTAATTTAAAATGTCGAAACACGCGTTGCTATTTAAACGAGATATGTATACCAGAAATGGAAGCACACGTGAAAATTAAAATTCGTATATATACATTTGTATATTATTCAATGAACAGAAATTACAGTAAACTTTTATATCTTTTATAAATTTCAATATTGTTATTTTTTAAATGTTTATTCCCTCAGCCATTGAGCAGTGCGGAAGAGAAACTTACATGTTAAATTACAAAACCTGACTGTGTTGTGTGCTTAAGAAATACAAAGTGGCCCTACACGTTACTTAATGGCGAAATTAACTAGTCTGTGTAGCACAGTTTTGCGCAGTAACCGATCTACCGCGTTCCCTAGGGTTATATATATTATATCGAATTCGTAACTAAGCCAGCTTACGAGTTTTACACGTGATCTAATACTTTAAGGGTTAGAATCATAAGCGATAAGATGTCTTCCGATCTTTCGCGCGTGAAACTTGAACGATTTCTGAACAACACGAGTAAAAGTTTCGATGCATGGGATAGATCAATATGAAATCTTGGTTTGGAAGTGTATCTCATGTATGGCAAAGAAGACTATCCCACACTTGATATGTACACGTCTAAATTTTGCGACTGATCAATCAATTCAAAAACTGACTGTCCATAGATCTTAAATTGATCTTTTCCAAATAAACAACGACATAATTGCAATGCAAAATTTATTTTTGATCTATAATTCATCTTTAGTTGATTTTTAATCGGTCAATCGCAAAATGTACATGTCAAATTTGGGATAGTCTCATTTGCTATTTAAAAAGTAGAGAATGTTCTATGTAATAAGTTAATTAATCATGATTTCAGATACCGTACCGGAACTGCAGTACACATTTATTAAACAAGCGCTAAGACCAGGACCGCCCGTGTCTTTACGTTGTTCTGCGACAGGATCTCCGCCGCCATCCTTTACTTGGTTCTTAGATGGTGAATCTTTAAGTGAAATAAACGCCGGTCATAGGTAAACCTTTGGTGTTTTTATTTGCGAAAGTCTTCAGAAGGTTTAAATTATGATGATAAGATCTTTTATATTTATTAATGTACTTCTTCGTTTTAGATATGCAATTGGTCAATACGTCGATCAGTCTGGTGACGTTATCAGCCATCTCAATATCACTTCCGCACGTGCAGAAGATGGTGGTCTCTATAGTTGTGTAGCGACTAATACACTGGCAACAGTAGAACATAAAGCACGGCTAAACATATACGGTATATAATAGAAAAATTGTGTCATCTACGAATATACAACAACCAAGACATTACCTTACTAGTGATTCTATATCATCATTATAATCCTATAAAACTATGAGACAACATTGAACAATTCGTACAATCTAAACAATTTCTTGACATGCCCGTATTTTGATTATAGGCCCACCATATATTAGATCAAACGAACCAATGCGTGCCATTGCTGGCGTTGATGCTACCATAGCGTGTCCATATTCCGGATATCCTATAACATCAGTCGAATGGTCACGCGGTGGTGTAGAACTTCCGCTTGATATGAGACATCGTGTGGACACTGAAGGCTACCTTACAATTGCCAATGTCGATACAAATGATGCTGGAATTTATACGTGCACAGTTCGTGCAAGATCCGGTGAAACTGCCAGTAGAGACATCAGACTGACTGTCAGTAGTGAGTGACATTTTATTCACGTAACCTACATTATCATGTATTTTTATGAATATCCGTATGTAGGTATGTAGTATTTGAATGCTTTGTTTCAAAATCAGTTTGTTCTTTCAAGGCCCACCAATTATGAGTCCGTTTGACTTTCCGTCAAATTTGCAAGAAGGAAGCTGGGCCCAGGTGACATGCAGCGTCAGCTCCGGTGATCGACCAATTTACTTTTCATGGCTGAAAGACGGTGAACCACTTCCATCCTCTCTTCGCGTAAGTTTTCAAATTAAGACCTAGGCTTCTTCAAACGAATTAATATACAGGGTGCCTAATAAGTTCCGGACAAGCTATATACTGTTCGTCATAAGACTCTGAAAAAAATTGTACGAGGAGGATTGAAATATTTCAATCATCATTTAACACAAAATAATATATCACACATGTTATATATTCAGACACTTTAATTGTACAGATCGAAGAACGAGGTGACGATTTCTTCAGCATTCTGGTGTTCAAAGAAGTATCCTCAAGACACAGCGGCAGATACACGTGTATCGCCACGAACAGTGCCGCCAAAGTGAATCACACTGCTGAACTATTAGTCAAAGTGCCACCACAATGGGCATTCGAGCCTCAAGACGTTGCCATCCTGCTTGGTAGTCCGTTGAACATTCATTGCGAAGCCAAAGGATTTCCGGTGCCCAAAGTCACGTGGCTACGCGGACGCGGACGAACCTCTAACGATTATCAATTATTAAACAATGAAATGGATGGGAGGATCAAAATTCTGACAAACGGTTCGTTGTGGACAGCCTCCGCGGGACCGCAGGATGAAGGACATTATCTTTGCAGAGCGAATAACGGTATTGGCTCTGGCCTTAGCAAAGTCATCTACGTTTCCATAAATGGTGAGGGCACATGCTCATTGTCACGTCATGTTTTCGTCGTTATGTCTGTTACTTTATTACGTTCATTCCCTTTACAGACATATGATGTAACTTGATTCGTATTTAGTCTTCTTAATTTTTCAATGCGACCTATCTTGACATTTCTGATGTTGTATGCTGTATAATTGACCTTCATTTTCTTCATGCGGTGCTTTATGGATTTCTTATATGTAAACAAATTTTTCCTCATTACCTTTGTGTTAATAATGGAGTCGAATTTTAGTTTAATTTTTATTGATTCCTTATAGGTGTATTGTTATTGCTATCTGTGTTTGGTATTGTCAACAGGATGCGAAAACCCCTCGATATCGGTAAGACGATTGCTAGTCGTATGCTTAACCCCTTGTTGCATAATACAGAAACGCGCATTCCATAATATATTATAGCATTAGACATACATATACGTCAAATATATTACAGCATTATTCCTTCGGTATATAAAAAAAAAACTACCAAGACAAACATATTTTCAGCAATTTGTTATATTTCTTAGTTAATTTTCTTGATCGAAGATCTCATGAGAAAATTACAATGCTCGAGGTCGTTCTTCACCCGTTGAAGACCAGGAAGCAAGGATTTTTATTTTAGTCTGCTTTAGTAGTACATATCGCGTGACTAAAAGCAAAAAGGCATATGCTTCCTAAAAATCTGATGTTTTGGCGTATAAACTGTTTGCTTTAGTCACACGATATAACTCAATAATACAATTAATTATTATTATTTTATTCATCCAGATAATTCGTAATGTCTAAAACTCTTCATTGAAACATGTTAATTATAACTTTCTCATATATATTGTGTCTGGGTATAACTGGGTCTAACATATTAAATGCAACAAAGAGTTAATAATGACGTTGTCTGACGTGTCGCTTGTGTTTTAAACACCTATCATGGTCTCTTCATTTGATGTACAGTTTATGTATCACCATCACTGATAAAGGTATTTTCTTTACGATCTCTTCCAAAATATGTAAAAAATGTCAATTAATATTCATGAAACTATCAGCATGAATCTAGCGCTTTAAAAAAAATCGATAAAGCTATGTTTTTTAGAATTATGACTATTACAGTCTTAGGCTGTAAGTCAAGATACATATACACACAAAGAAAAAAAAAAAGAAAGATGAGCAAGCATTTCATACTTTCAATCCTATATCCTTTCCTTTTTTTAACTAAACTACGAAAATCACTTCCCAATTGGTACTTTCGGTACACGTCTCAGACAGACACTTCCACATTTCAAGTGCCTTGACACGTGCCTCACACGTACGCTTAAAAGCACTCTCAAGTTTGTGTGGCACTTTCATGTATACGCGTTCTCTAAACCTCATTTCTCCGAACACGCACATTCTCCAACCTCGTAAATGTGTACTTGCCATGACGATGTCAAGTTTCGACGTTCCAGTTTCCTAGATGGAAAATTAAACGTTTTTCTTTTTACCTGTATATTGTTGCATGGACTTTCTTGATGCAAGAAAAATATAATCCCAAAATTATTTGCAATAATCATAATAAATAATCATAGTCGTTCCTATCACAAATTACAATTACACAATGCCTCTTATAATTAATTTAGATATGACATATTCAGGAGTTACACTACCGGTCAAAAGTTTAGGTTCACCTCGCTTTCTTTGTAACGCTCCCATGACTGCAGTTTGAGAAACATCAAATTTAAAAGGAATTTTTCGCGTTGAATAACCTTCTTCGTGTAATGCCACAATGACTGCTCGTGTCTCTACACTCAGCCATGCTTTTCGACCCATTTCCCTACGATTGACACATAAAATATGTAGTTTTCTTCACATTTCAATAATGAGATGATATTCGTCGAATTACATCAATTTAAATATACATTTTTCTTTAACAGTAAAGATTTTTAATATGAAAAATGTTCTACTTACCTTTTTGTAAAGAAAAATATGAAAAACAATTGGAAATATAACTTTTGGAAAGAGCTCTCGAGCAGTAAGATGTTACGCGTAATATGCACTAGACGCATCGAGAGAATGCAACCTGTCATAACAAGTTGGTGCTCGATCTACGCGTCTCCCAAACACGGCAAACTCCCTTCTACACTCTGACCAGTAGCGTGTATCGACTTGTTATAGGTAAAACGCACGTGCTTGACAAAATTCAATGAGTAGCCGACTTAATTGTGTAGAATTCAAAAATAAAGCAAGTGAACTTTAACTTTTGATCGGTGGTGTATATATAATATTATTAAGAAGCAAATTCATCATTCGGGATAATAAAATGAGTAGTCGACTTAATTGTGTAGAATTCAAAAATAAAGCAAGTGAACTTAAACTTTTGACCAGTAGTGTACATCAATTCTTTCAATAAATCTTCCAGATATACTCGATTTACTAAAAAATCTAAATCCGGTATATCAATCGCGAATAGACGACATTGCTTCGAAAATGCTCAAATCTAAGAGAGTTAATAAAATATGTTGTAATCCGATTACTTATGCTAAATTTATATTTAATTTCTCTCAGAGCCTGCAAGATTCGAATTACAAAGTAAAAACGTTACAATAAGACGTGGCGAGCCAGTGACTTTGGATTGTACAGTCATCGGTGACAATCCAATCAGCGTTCAATGGACTCAAAATAATGAGCGACTTGATTTGAATCACTATCGATTGAGCATCAGTCAAGTCAAGTCCGAGAATGGACTCAAATCACAATTGTCAATTGGTAGAAGCGACCGACAAGACTCTGGTGTCTACAGATGCACTGCTGACAATGCTTTTGGCAGAAGTGAACATCTTGTTTATCTAGCAGTTCAAGGTACATAATGCAGAAATAATTTTATTATACATTCTGCGTATAGTATGATTTTGTATTAAAATATATTTAATGATCTTAAGATTGTATAGACGTGAATTATTTGTGTCATATTTTATGATACAGAAAGACCCGATGCTCCAACTTCTTTAGAAGTCATCGAAATTGGTTCACGATCAATTAGACTGTCGTGGCGGCGTGCATTTGATGGAAATAGCCCCATTCGGAATTATGTAATTCAATATCGATCACTGGGACACACGTTAAGCGATGATTGGGATCCAACTAAAACGCATAACGTTACGTACACTCCTGGAACATTCAATGATGACCATAATATAAATCCAACCCAAAATGGTAAGTAATACAAGAATATTTCAAATTACATCAATATTATTGTTCACCCACGTCTGAACATGTTGCTGTATAAATCGAAGACAACATCCAAAGACTCCTTAATTTGTTCTATATATCTCAGTCTTATTATATCAATAGCTCAATGTTGAACTTTATTTCGAATATCAGATTTCCTATACAAAATTTAATAATTTGTATTCATCATATGGAGTTCTTATATAATAGTATCCAATTTTATATTTAATCTGATTATTGGTATACAGGGTGTTCCAAAATTACCTGACCAACGGGGTATGGCGGTGTTCGGAAGGCACCACTGATCACGAAAATGACGTTCCTTTTCTCCGGAAGGTCATAGTTTTTAAATGGGTGCAGGTCAAAGTTGACCAATCAGAGGGAGGCATCAAGAGAAACGTAGGCACCTACGAACTCTGAGTTTTCTTCCCTCGCTTTTGTTTCTCGCTGGCTTCGGGCAGGATGACGTCGCCGAAGACATGCCTATTGGAAACAAGAAACAAGAAACAAACCACCGAGAAACAAAAGCGAGGGAAGAAAACTCAGATTTCGTAGGTGCCTACGTTTCTCTTGACGCCTCCCCCTGATTGGTCAACTTTGACCTGCTCTTATTTAAAAACTATGACCTTTCGGAGAAAAGGAAAGTCATTTTCGTGATCAGTGCTGTCTCCCGAACACCGCCATATCCCGTTGGTTAGGTAATTTCGGAACACCCTGTATATGTACTTTCTGGCTTGAGTATTTACATTATATATATTGTAATAAAAACTGAACGTTGAAATGGTTGTTACTACGCCCTAAACCTTATATAGAGCCTTAAGTTCTATACCTTCTTTCCGGACATTGTCCGTTACATTTGGCAATTTATTTGACCCCCCAATGGCTACTGCTACATGTATAGTTATACAGCAATATTATAATATTACGTAATGTGTTTTTGAAACAGAATTGTCACATTTCGATGCCAACAGCGACGAGCAAGAAATTGCTATGATTGGCGGCCTTCATCCGGCAGTACCATATACTTTTCGTGTATTTGCGATTAATTCGATTGATGCCAGTCCACCCACTGATGCTGTAGTAGCCAAGACTCAAGAAGAAGGTATATTCAATAAATACAGCATCAGTCATCAATTTTATCAAATGAACATATGTTCCTAAATACATTTTTATTATATTACAGCACCCACAGAACCTCCGCAAAATATTAACGTACAGTCAGCGGGCTCTGGGGAATTGATTGTCAGCTGGCAGGTAATTTATGACTTACATTCTTTGTACAACAATAGAATCCAATTATAGCGCATATTGCTTTTCTTAATTCATTTCGAATGAGAATAGTGTCAACCCACGATTATTAAAATGTAGCAACGACTTTATTATTGTAGTTTCGATATACATTTTCTACTTAAAATATATTTGTAAGCAGACGGACATGAAATACATAAATTAATAAGTCAAACGTCATTAATAAAAATCAATCTTGCCTATACTGACAACATATTTTTTATAATTTTATAGGCACCACCAAAGGACACCTGTAATGGCGAATTACTCGGTTATATAGTCACATGGTCAGAACACTCCTCATCGACTTTGGGTGTCAATCAAAGCAAAAGTTTGACAGTTAATGGATGGGCAACAACAAAAGTACAACTAACAGGGCTCAGAAAATTTACAAAATACGATATTTCAATCAGAGCTTTCAACAGTATAGCAAGTGGACCAGCAAGCACGCCGATTGTAGGAACAACACAAGAAGGAGGTAATAGTAGCTTACAGTTTTTTATGCATTCTTAAATAAATTAATAATTAAAATTTATGTCATAACATTTAATTTTTTTTTGTTTTGATTATTGGTGTATACCATTGTCTTTTTCGATAAATGTACTTTATCAATTGGGTGTTCGCGTTTTATATACTCTAAAAAAAACACACGGTCCTTTTATGCATTCGTAATTGTAAAAAGAGCTGTGTGCATTCAAAATTTTAAATAAACTTTTAAGCAAATTTCAATGTTGGTTAAATTTTAAGTTTCGTATTTGAATTATTTGCGATTTTATTTCAATTTACAAATACTTAAAATATTACTAAGCAGTTACGTATAATCGTACATAAAAGCGAACTTCTCTGTCTATATATATTTCTATATTTTCAGAAGCCAAAAGAAGCTAGTAACATGAAATCATAAAAATCAATAAATTACTCAAAACTGATTTGCGATATCTAGTTACATGCACCAAACAAACACTTATTGCAAGCTTCAGAATCAACCGGATGGCAGTTACTAAAACGAATAATTAAAGAGTGAACCAGAAATCTTCAATTTTGCATATGAACTGTTCCATACAAATTTTGAAATTTTCCTCAGTTTGTTATTTACAATATTTTTTAATATCATGAATGTCATTTTAAACCTTCATGAAGCTAACTCTAGGTTAACTGCTGTTCATTACACAATAGTAGACAAATATTTATTTATAAAGAATTGTCGGTTGGATATACATATATAATATATTGTTGTTCCGGTTATTGGCTCTTCGCAGGCAGAGTAAAAAAATCAACTCGATTTATTTGAGTTTAATTATCCTGGCTGCAAATGGTCAACGGCTCAAACAACAATTTAGTACACTACACACACATCATGCAGCTGGATAGAATTAACTATGTAGAAGGAGAGGTGACGTAGCGTTGTATAACACATACTAATTTGAGTTCTATTCCTGGTGCCTTAAAATTACAATTACAAATCAATTTTAAGTAATCTTTCATTTTCATGATTTGTTACTGAACCTATCACACAAGTCTCGTAAACTCACTCTGATAACAATTTCCACCTATTTTCCAAATGGCTCCAAATGCAAGCACTCGTTGTCAATGATAAATATATAACATGGAACTATAATTTTGTTTTAGTACCAGAGGCTCCACCTACTCAGGTAGAATGTGCGCCACTTTCGTCACAAAGCGTTAAAGCTTCATGGGATCCACCACCGGCACATCAACATGGCGGACTCATTCAAGGATACAAAGTGTACTACAGACCCGTACCGACAGAAAACAGTACGTGTCACTAAACATCCATCAGTTTTATAATTTGCATTTTTTTAAATTTCATAATGAATATTTCTATCATATTTTTAACCAGTCACTACTTTGCAAATTACGTTTCTTACTACTAATTCCGTGATTAGTATGTGACGTATTTCTTTCGATTGGCTACGTTTTTAAATTAAAAGTGCTATTGCTATTATACGTGTATGGATTTCCTAATTTTCTGAAAACATTTAATTATTATTCCGTTACAGTGGACATATCGACGGTCGGTGAGGTCAAGCGAACATCCAGCGAGGAAACTTACCTACACACGCTATACAAATACACCAATTACTCAATCAGAGTTTTGGCCTACACTAGTGCAGGAGACGGCGTCTTGAGTCCTCCAATTTTCTGTACAACCGAAGAAGACGGTAAGCATGAATGATTTGAATGTTATCTACTATTACTATGTCCAATTATAAGATGTAAACGTTGTCGACGTCCATTAAATCACTGATCTATTAAGGGATCATCACAGTGTGACCGCTCGAAAAATAGCCGATTTTCGCGATTTTTTTTTACGTGGATGGAATAAGGTAATCGGTCTAATTTTTTTTTTACGAATTAAAGCATCTATGAAGTATGCAAAATGATTTTTTAAAAATTTCTTTATGTATTATTTAACGTTGTTTTTATTTGTGGAAAATTGAATGGAAAAAAATGGTGTCCCATGGTGGCCAGGATTGCGGGCGCAAATTTTACCTGAATCAAAAATTTCAAATGGTTTATAAGTCTGTAGGAAAGCCGCTATGCTCCTATGGAGGCTTTTTTGTTGTTAGTGAAATTTGAAAAAATGGCGTCGGTTTGAACAAAACGTATAAAATTTAGCCCTTTTTTTCGACAGTTTTTCGTAAAACAAAATAGGAAGATTTCAAAAAAAAAAAAGCTTCCACAGCAACATAAGAAATGACGTGAAAAATGTTCTGTTAAAATCTCAAATGGATAGCTTGAAAATTCTTCCTTTGAGAGTAGCCACCGTTTTGAAAAACACCATTTCGAGAAAAACGCGTTTAAAGTTCGGAGTGCGCCAGGTCTGACCGTCCAATCCCTTCTTTTAAGAAAGGCTGTAGCGACCGAAATAATTCGAATTTCGACATAATAATTGGACAGAATGTTTATAACCGTATACAGGGTGATTTTTTTGAAACACCTCAGGCTGATATCTCGTAAATTAAGCAACATATGTAAAATACATCTTATATGAAACTTTCTTGATTTTGATAAATCTGACTATACCATCTTCTTTCCCCCTCAAAATCAAGAAAGTTTCATATAAGATGTATTTTACATATGTTGCTTAATTTCCGAGATATCAGCCTGAGGCGATTCAAAAAAATCACCCTGTATACTATCCGATAATGAAAAAAAAAAATCGATTTTTTGAAAATTTTACACTATGATGATCCCTTAATTTCGCAACCATATTCGAAAAATTCACATGCATAGACGCAAAAGACTTTTTGGTAAAATAATATTAAAGAGAACAATAATTGTTGACTAAGTTTCCTCGCTTCTGATGCTATCTCATAGCGTGCTATTTCAATATGTTTGATAGAACTTGTAATTAATCAGTCGATATGTTTCCCATGATCAAAACTGATTGAATATTGACCATAATGCTGTTAAGCGATTTCTATTTTCTGAAATCTCTCCACCATTATGTAATGGCCGATATTTCGCTTGTGTAATTCGATGGGAAATAACGTTTTAATACTCTACCCTGTTAGTTCATTTATTCAAACTGCATTCACTTATTCCCTAAAATTGTCAGCTAAAGGCCATTCTACAATCACAGGGAACACGTTATACGGAACATATAACCCAATTTCGACAGATAAGAAAAAAGACGTGTCGCTTAATTTATCGAGTACTACAGCATATGTAAAAACGAAGAAAATCGGACACCTACCAAGATTTCCTTGTTAGGCACCCCGCAACTGGCCCTAATAACATCAGGCACCCTGGCTAAATTTCTACTTGGGTACTTTTGTTTTTTGCACTGGTATACAATACATATATTGTTACATTTTGGTTAAGCCCTAATCTCGTCTGCAGCCGATTTGGAATGTTGATTAGCAAAGGACGCGAGATAATCTATAGAAAATCTATGCAATACGTACAGTGTAAACTGGCCCTCTCAGACATCCGCCCGAAACTGCGTCCCCACGAACAGCGTGGTCCGTCTTCTCAAACCCAAACTAACTGCGCACTGCTGCCCATAGAAAAAATCGGTCCTGAGACGGATTTAAGCCTGCGACCTTTTGTTAGGATCAATACTATAGTATATACCAGTATACTGGTTGCATATTATAACCACTAAACTGCATGTTCATTTTTTCATTTGAGAAGAAAACAATGTTAGTCCACATTTTCTGCATTGATCGGTGGTTGATTCTGTTCGAATAAATCTCCTACCTAGCCCATATTTAAAATTTACTAACCGAGGAACAGTTAAAGCAGATAAAAAATGGCAACCAATGGGTGACGCGTCCAGTGACGTCCAAAGCTCGTTGTTATTTACTAATTAGTCGCTGCTCGCTGCTTACAGCCTGTTATTTTTAATTTGAATAAACCATTACGTCCCCTCTGAAGAAAAATCTAGAACACAATCATTTCATACCTATGCACCCCTACTGCCATAACGAGGGCTTATAATGGGTTATCATGATCTCATGTCCGAATACCACGTCCTTAATACCACGTAGTGATATAACTAAATCCTTCAATCTAAAGCCTCTTATGGGATTAATTGCTCCATCAAATCATTAAAATTAAAAACCACCCGAATTAGAGATGAACGACAAAACGTAGTGAATTTAATTATTTTTCAATTCTAAAACCTAGCAAATAGTGTTACATGTATTAACCCTCGGCGGTCGCTCTGGGTCACTCGTGACCCGAGCGAAATTTTACTTCTGAATTTGCTGCAAACGGAAAAACGGGCGGGGCCTGCCATGCCCCCCTAAAAAAACTTAGGATAGGTAAGGTCCTACACCGAAAGTTTGGTAGCTCTCTGCCAATTAGTGTATGACCTACGAAACAGTGAACGTCAACAGCGGTCGTGAGTGACCCAGTGCGACCGGCGTGTAAGTGAAAACTGTTTTTGAGGAATTCTTTGTTTTTCGATCCATTGCCCAGGAAATCGTGTGTCAAGGTATGTAAATTAATATTATAATCTTCTGAAACTTTTTTTTTTCCAAAAAAACGCAAAAAATTTTTTTTTTCAAAAATACATTTTTTTTTGTTTTCAGAATTGGCGGAGAGAACGCCGGAAGAATTAGGCTGCATTCTACGAGAAGAAATTCGTAATATAAATTACGAAGAATTATCCGACGACGAACTGGACACATTCGTGTTAATTCAACCACATTTACAATTGCGCCTCCAATTGCCAACCCTTCGTGCTTCACTTCGCGTAAAGATTCACGAAATACTCGAGGTTGATTCACAAATCACGGAACGCACAAGCTAATTGCAGAAAAGAAAACTGTGTTCATTTTGTTCAAATAATAAAAAACATCTTATTGTTGTTCGCGATGTGAAAAACCAATTTGCGAAGAGCATCGTCTATGCATCTGCGTACCTTGTATGGAGGCAATGTCTTTTCTTTTCTACATTCAATGTTTTCCCTAATAAAACTAATATTTTTTGTAATAAAAATAATATTTTATTTGTTTCTTTAAATAAAAGTAATATTTTTTATAACAAAAACGATAATTTATTTGTTTAAAAAAAATCATCGATTTTCCTATCCTTGAAATCGTCCATTTTCAGGTGATTGAATAATTATACTTTTTTCGCAAGAAATGATCGTCGCCCGGTTTTTCTTAAACATTAGGATGTCCATGACGATAGTCCATGGTAGTTTTCTTTTTCCTATGGCCCTTTTTTTTTATTGACATTTGAGCAAAAACACGTATTTCGTTTTCGTTCAGATATCTATTTATAGCATAAAAAATAACTTTTGGGCTTCAAGAAACATCGATTTGCATTCTACAACTATTCAGGAGTATTCACAATTTTTTTTAGATTTTTTGAAACGTTTTCATCCGTTGAAAAATGTACGCGAACATAGATGACCCAGTGCGACGGCGGAAGCAGCGAAATTACAGTGCGACCGCCGAGGGTTAAAATATTAATGGACAGTTACAACGTTACATGGTATTACATGTAATAATAATATATCTATTATAAACAACTTTCAACATAATTAAAATAAGATTGAGGCCGATTTTACTTCAAAAATGCCTCGAGAAAGCTCAGATAACGTTAAAAAAATTATAGAAATGTACAAAAATATTAGAACTGTCCTTCCAGCAGCTTAGCGGTCATTGCATCATCAATGTTATAATAACTTTTAAAAAACACATTTTTTCGCAAGATATCATGATTCAAACTTACGATACGGCCACAGTTGATGCTATCGAAAGTATGTAAACCAAGTGGGAAAAAGTCAGATTGAACCCGCAACTAAAGTCTTCATACAATAATATGCATTATGGTAATACAGCTATGCGGCAACCTCGTAATGATAAATGTTCATTTTCCTCCATGGGTTTATTTTGATTCTTATTATGTAAATCAACCCTGTATAGTATAAATATAGTATAAATTTCGCATAGAGTTACGACATTTTTCTTGTTATTTTTTGTTTCTTTCTGGAAGCACCGTATCAGCTGAGGTAGCGCTATGCCATTAATTTATGCCTCACAAGTTAGGTTTTGCGAATGTACAATAACAATCTCTCTACTAATGTCCCATTGCGACTCTCTTTTTAATTTCTGACTATCTTCCTACCTAAAGGAAGACATAGATGGAAATTTTTGTGTTCAGTTCTGTAATCTTCAGTGATACTGCACAGAACTCTAAAATTATATCAAATGCAACATTTTACTTGTAAAGTAGTTGTATTTTTCACATTAAAAAAGCCGTATGCAATTATGTAAGAGCAGCTCTGAATTTCTTAAATACCATTATGTTTCTAACTTTGAACGTCATACGACCGTCATTAATTATAACTTTAATTAAAAAAATACTAATAACAATTCATAATTCAAGCACGCGAATTTTTATATAAACAAGATCTTAGATCTTGTATTATTAATTATTTATACCAAACAAATTATATATTTTTAAAAACAGATTGAATAAACTGTATAATATTTAATGACAAAATGTCAATGAAAGTTTACGGAAAACTTATAGCTGGGTGCGATAAGAAGTTAAAATTAATGAAAATCAAATATAACGCAGCCCTGTATAATTAAACTGATTACACAGCGAGAATTTTCTACTAAATGTTGTTCTGAAATGCGCAGTCAAAATTATCTATAAACCTAATAAAACTAGGACATAACGGTAGTTTTTATCAGGAGCGCGGCAATTTTTACCTACACATCCTAGTAAAGATCATGGAGTGCAATTTACTACGATATGGTGGTAAAATTTTCCTGCTTCAGGGTAAAAATTCCTGTAATTTTTGGGCAGAAGAATAAAAAATACACTAAAGGCACAAAGCATACAGGATAACGCGACGTAGAGGTCAGTAAACGTAATAACTTCTGATACTTCAAAAACTGATGATTGGCGCGTATCTACATACCATAGTTTCCCAAAGGTGAGCGACAGTTTAACACAATGGCTAGTTAAAATTTATACAAATTCACTGGAAAATTTGTGTGGATTCCTATAATGTCTTTGTTGCCTTGCAACGTGAACATGAATTACTATTTTACAGGATAAGAATTGCAACTAGCCTTATATATTTTAATGGTTAATTAGAATTGTTTCGAAACTCGATTGATTACAAATTACAGGATTTTTAGCATATTTTCCAGATTTCAAAATGTTACCAACCAGTGTAGTAAAAAGTATTAGATTCAATATATTAAATATCTCTTTTCTACATGAATATTCCACGAAATTTTACTTAATTTCATATTTACTCCGCATTACTGTACTTTTCCCTAGAAAATTTTCTTTTTTCCTTAGAAAAATGTACGGTCTATTTATAAAAGGTGTCTATAAACTTTAGAGCACAACTAGCATAGCTGTATTCCTGGCCAAAAAATGAGTAAAAAATTCCTTTAACATCTTTTAATCCGATGCGTAATTATCGAGCTATTAATGATTGCACTCCGCTATTTAGATGCACGCGTCCAGTTGGATTAAGGCTCCTTTAAATTAATTTTAAAGTTTCGATAATATGATTGTGAAAACAGCAGTTATAATTCAGCTCCGTCTAATATAAAATGCAGCCTACATTGCGCATGATTTGTATTGCAAAACTTATAGAGAACTCAAGAATTATCATTTCTCGCACATCATTCACCGAAATATGTATACAGGGTGATTTTTTTGAATCGCCTCAGGCTGATATCTCGTAAATTAAGCAACATACGTAAAATACATCTTATATGAAACTTTCTTGATTTTGAGGGGGAACGAAGGTGGTATAGTCAGATGTTTCGTAGGTGGAGCCGCCAAGGTTAGGTGAAAGTCAACTTTGATTTTTTAAATAGAACGGTGCACTTTTTTTACAAATCCTGAAAGAGCATCCAATTTTACATAAAAAACATTAGAGGTACTAGTCAGATTTATCGTAGGTGGACCCGCCAAGATTAGATGAAGGTTCACTTTGATTTTTGATGTGAACGGTGCACTTTTTTCACAAATCCTGAAAGAGCATCCAATTTTACATAAAAACATTAGAGGTACTTATGGCCTACAACCAGATGGTAATGAAATAAGAGCTGGGCAAGTTAGGCCGATGCTTCTTTTTATCTAACTTGCCCAGCTCTTATTTCATTACCATCTGGTTGTAGGCCATAAGTACCTCTAATGTTTTTATGTAAAATTGGATGCTCTTTCAGGATTTGTGAAAAAAGTGCACCGTTCACATCAAAAATCAAAGTGAACCTTCATCTAATCTTGGCGGGTCCACCTACGATAAATCTGACTATACCATCTTCTTTCCCCCTCAAAATCAAGAAACTTTCATATAAGATGTATTTTTCGTATGTTGCTTAATTTACGAGATATCAGCCTAAGGCGATTCAAAAAAATCACCCTGTATATGCTAAATTCACTAGGCAAAAAGGACTTTTATATATAGTTCTGAGAATATTTGGAAAGGAGAAGGCAGACATTTTACACGTTATACATTGTAACGTATATTATTTTCAACTGTCAAGACTGGTGAAGTACCAGTTCCCTCGAATGACGATTTTGGCCACTTAGCTCCTCTTATTGTTAGAGTGAACCAGGGTTCAGAACGGTAATGGGATAGTTGTGTTACAGCAATAATAAAACGTTCTTTCGGTAAACTTTTCCTTGTTTATTATAATTTGAGTCTCTATACGGTATCTCATTTGGCGGTTCTGTTTACAATCGGTATAATTAGAAATGTCGTAGAAATGACTTGAGGCTGTGGAAGCCAACACTTCCGGGCTACGGATGATGCGAGCGATCACTCTCTGTTAATTTGTCCAGGGTAACTAAACGCTGCCGCTACTGGACTCGATGCTCGGGTTGATTTGCTGAAATGAAAATAGAAACAGAGTACTCAACGAACGGTGTGGTCGCAAAGATGCTTCTTTCTCGGATGAGACAAGGTGGATATAAGATCCAGGACATAAAAGTATATATCTCGACGACAACGAGCCGCGAAATCGATGGACTAATTATTCACCGGGTCTTCCGTTTCTTCTAGCGAGTTGCCTTGGCCATCTAGTGGCGCGGCAGCGTACTAGTGCTCGCTCGGATACCCTTTTCTTTTTAGGGACTTGTCATAACATCCTACACGTATAATGAAGTTGTAGTATACTTCTTCATAATTCTTCATATCATATTGAAATAAAAAAATATGTGTCTTCAATAAATATAAAAATATTTGTATTCAATTTGAAGATGCCCATTTTGAAATAATACAAATTGTTTAAGAAATTGTTGCATAACAATAATTATTAAACGACCGAATCGTCTACCATTAAAACGTGGACTTTAAAGAAAACCCTATTGTACATTTTGCCCTGTAGTGCTTTGCTTTTAGTCAAAAAGTGGACGATGCACGATACATTTAAAGAAGAACCGGTTTTTTGGGTTCGATAAATTAAAAAATCGATATTTCGCAAATTCTTCATATCATATTGAAATAAAAAAATGCGTGCCATTTTTTTCCATCAAGAACAAAGGAAACAATTTTCAGGAAAATTAAAAATTTGGTTTTAAATCTGACATGGAATGACCCGTATATATTATAACTCGGCGGATGGGTTATTTTTCAAGGGACGATCCAAAAATAAACGCTGGGCATCTGTGCCAGGATTCGAACCCGGGACCTTTCGGTTACCGGTCGAATGGTCTGACCCCTGAGCTACGCCAGCTATGTGTAACATCTTTCTCAAATCGTTCCTATTACAGGAAATTCATTTTCGTTACAACATAAACCCCCTAACATAAAAAATCATTACATTACATTTTAGAACCTGCACAATATAAAATAAATAAAGAATAACAATAAATATTATTGCAGTCCCAGGACCTCCGGCGGGCATAAAAGCTTTGGCTTTAACGGCTGAAAGCATCCTCGTATCGTGGCTGCCACCATTGCAACCAAATGGTCATGTATCACAGTATACAGTTTACAGTAAAGAAGCGGGTGCTTCAAGACACAACACGCATACAATGCACGAGCCGCCATCATCAACAACTGACACACTAACGATGGAACTACGTGGGCTTGTCGAGAGGTCAGGTCAAATATTCATCTATATTAAGGTGGTTTGATGATTAGATGTATTCCAAGATAAAGATCCAAATTTTATGTATTTTTCATATAAAAAGGGAAAAAAGGATGCTAGAAGTGAACAAATACTTTAGCTACATTTAGATACACGAATGTGTTACAGTATTGCAACAGAAAGCATAGCTTATCGGGTAGCGCTCGAGCCTAGTAATCGCGGGGTCACTGGTTCGAGTCTCACTTGTAGTATCTTTTTCTTCCCTTCTTTTAAATACTTACGTCATTCAAATATAAGAATCACTAAATCTATGCCAATTCACTAATACATAATTAACATTTTCAATGAAAATCGCACGTCTTATTTTTCTAATTCGCGAGAAATGGTTCTATGTGGGGATTCATGCATCGGTATACAGGGGGTAGTTCACCTCCTTAAACGTGTTTTCCCGCAAAAGAGCAAAAACGTGTAAACTGTAATTTTACTTTCTCTTTCAAATGGTACGTATTTCATTAAATTCCATTCCTAAGTTTTTTAAATAGGGTGAAAAAAAGAATAATCGACGGGTGGTTCACCCCAATGAGAGACAATTTTCTTTAATGTCTAGGTGCACTTTACATTACTCGTGATAAGAAACATTTTAGTTTTTGTTTCATTGAAATCGGTCGATCCCTTCTAGGTAAAACTGCATTATCACCCCTCGACATGCCGAAATTGGGCGGTTGATTTCACCCCCTAAAACTGTTTTTCCGTCGATAAAAAAATACGTGTCTCTTAGATTTTTAAGCGCTACAACGTAGTTGAGTTTCATCAAAATCGGAGGGGGGCACTAAAGTGATGTTCCTTGTGAGTGAATGTCATCGATCGACATCAGTCGTCGATGAAATTGACTGAAAAACCGCCACTTTGGTTCAATTACGAATTGTACCCTTTTCAATACTTGCTTTTTAACAAATACATTTAAACCTTTCATAATAAATACTTTTCTCCTCTACGCTTGTCCCACTATGGTAGAGACGGCGAGTGTGCATAGTATCGAACATGGCTGTACCCCTGAAATGTTAAGTTTGAATAATGCAATTGCAGTAAATACATAGGATCAATGTAAAAATATGTATACACATATATTGTAACGTTTGTCGATAGTGCAATTTCATACGCTCCTTATGATTGTACGAAATAGGATGTAGGTAACTGCTCGGGGCTGACGTCTTTAAGAATTTATTCGACACAGGTGGATAAAGTAAAATAAAATAACAAAAATTTATTGAATAGTCGATAATCGGTACAACAGTTTTATAATCGTTGTCGATTACCCAGTCTTAATCAAATGTCGGTACTGTAGGAAAAGGATCAAATTACAAATTAACAGAACACTGCAGAAAAGGAAAATGATATGAAATTTGAAGATGTTTCTGCAAAAGAGATTCTAGTTGGATTAAATGGTACCAGACTAGTTGGCTCTGCACCACCAAAAATATTTTAAACCTTGAAAGATTGTGCTCATATACAATACGATAGGTTGTCTTTATAAATATTACATGTTCTTCATGTTCGTTATTTACGTCACTTTAATGCTCTATAATATCATTAAAAAAGATCTTTATCTAACAATAAGATTCAATTTTGCTTGGTTTATTAAAACATAATAAATTCAACGAGAAAAATGTAATGTTCGATTTCAAATTTTAAATGTCCGTTTCATAAACTTATAGCCAGTTTGATTGCGCATTCATAAGTCACGTGCCATGCCATAGAAGGAGGAGAAGGGGAAGCGTTCATATTATGGGAGGTTAAAATTCCTAACGCTGTGCTTCGTGAGAGGTTGGACTGTATGCTGATTAGAAATTATATTTCGTTGTCTTGTTAAGTCTTTGTGTTGTATTATATTAATATTTCTTGAATCCTACGTCGCCTGGTTTATATTCATTAGTGATCTGAGGGTAGCCATGATGTTTTTATCAATCTCTCAACATTTATATTTACCAATATTTTACATATTTTCTTTGTTCGTGGTAGCACGTACACGTTGAGCAGGTCGATAAAATTCCACTTTGACAATGATAATCTGTTGCGTAATCGCTATAAGAATAAAAAATATAGACCCACGTCAGAGCGCGTGCACGTCTGTATTTATACGCACCAAAAATGCGAAGCGGAGCGCTGGAACAATTACATTGAATTTTACAGACAAGAAGCACGATTTGATAATTTAATTAATACATTGTGAAAATATTGTCATTCTTCTAGCAAGCTTTACGAATTTTGGGTCTCGGCAACAACTGGTCCTGGAGAAGGGGAGTGTACTACAGTTGTTACGCAAAGCACAAACACACGAGGTACCGTGACTTAATTCAATGAAAAGTGATAATTAACAGAATCCGAATGACTTTATTTTCAATCAATATCGGTAATCAATCGATCAATATAACGGTCATTACCTATTACACATAAAGTAAACAATATAATATGATTCTTAGTTTACCATTAATTAATGCTTCTGATAATAGTAAATAATTAAAATTATCCATATAGGCATAGTCTCAAATTATTAGTAATTGATAAACTGTCATTCAACAGCACCTGCCAGAGTGGCCTCGTTTTCACAATTATTGAGAAGAGCTGTGAAATCGTCAGTGACGTTATCTTGTTTGGTTGTGGGCAATCCAACACCCAGACCAACATGGACCTTCAGGAACAATCAAGTTGTAACGGGCAGACATTACGAAATCACATCCGATGGACATCTTAATATACATGGTGAGTGCATTACCAAAAAAAAATAACTAACAAATATTTCTTCTGTTACATTATATGCAAAACATTTTAACAGCATTATCATCGTTCAACTTTGTCACCGCGACATTTCGATATTGCTGATTCAAGCAATCGAATAGTAAAAGAGACCGGTGCAAAATTATAAACAATAACGAATCACCTTATTGAAGTAACTATCCTGATATAATAATTATCCTGATATCGGATTATCAAATAATTTACGAAAAAAATTAATTTACAATAAAAATTGTGTAGTTGAGGGTCAAAACCAAATTGATAGAAATCTTCATTCTCATAGATACATTAAATATAACAGACCGTGAACAATGATGAATCACTGCGAACCATAGTAAAGAATAGAACTACACAAATTTACCCATGACATATAGCGCTTATACACCCAACATGATAAAGTCAAAAGCAAGTATATTTATTGAATTATCTTTTTGGACAAATTTGGCAAAACTTACTGTTTTCATATGTATATAAAATTATTGACAATAACCTTTATCTGAAGTAATGTTCACAAATTGAGCTGCTGGCTCAGTGGATAGAGTGTCTTATTGCTTGCTTGAAGCATACCGACAATTATAACTGTATTTGACGGGTTGATTCTTACTGTGGGTGCACAAGTAGATTGACAAGATCTTACTATGCATTTTCTTTTATCCAGGATTGGATCAGACAGTGACAGGAAATTACACATGTATGGCTAAAAATTTATTTGGAGATGATTCCATAACGTATACGTTAGTAGTAGTAATGCCACCACGCGCCCCGGTGCTAGAACTACAGTACACAACAACACACAGTGCCCGACTTCTATGGAAACATCCAGACAATGGCGGAGCCACGATTCAAGGTAATATAGCATTAAAGAAATTCTTTATTTCTTTTGCAATATTTTCCATTGTGTCATGTGATTCAATAGCTGTGGCCTTATCACAATCATCGAATTGTTTGTCTTCGTTAGGATATGTTTTAAGTTATAAGAGAGACCAAGGCGGATGGGAGGAGATTGCTTTGTCTCCAGAACAAACAGCTTTCACATTAAACGGTTTAAGATGCGGTTCATCATATTTGGCGCATTTAACTGCACACAACCGAGTCGGCACGGGAGATCCCAGTCCTCTTATCAGCGCCACTACTAAAGGAGGAGGTAAGTGTAGAAACGATACCTCGAATATCACAGGGGTAAGAAATAGGTTATATTCGTTGCTATAAATAAAAGTTGTGAGCTATTCTTGGACTCGGCCGAGCCCAGGACGAGGATCAGTCTTAAAAAATCTAATTCTATAGCTTTTGGGCAGAAGGTTTTTTGAAATAATGGAGACACAAGGTCACATGAGAAGTGATATAATTAGCAGAGAAATGTCGGGACGAAGAAAAGATTGAGGAAGTCTTCCCCAAGCATTGGTTATCATTTTGAGAAGTAAAAATGCAATGTTTATGTGGAATCGTATATCAAGTTTTAAATACTGAATACATATATGGAAATTGTATTTCACGGACTGCCTGTAGATATTTCTTATGGGGAATAGATATTGCTTAGATATCCTACAAATATTACTGTTATATTTATTGTCAATGTTGGATCTGTTGCATTTGGCGTGAGCTCTGAATATTATATAAATCTATACAGAACGTGTCAAGGTACACATTGCATATGCGTGCGGATATATGTAGTATTACTGCAATATTGTACGGATAAAAAATTGCTAATTGGGACACTATTTCTAATAACTTTATTTACAATTATTAACTTTTAATTTTTACAGCTCCTTTATTACCAAAGGAAAGAGATATCATCTCGGCTAATGCGACATCACTTAAGTTAAATCTTTTATCGTGGCCATCGGGTGGTTGTCCAATTCTTTATTATACGGTGGAATACAGACGTCGAATCAGCACAGAGGATTGGATTTTAGTTGCAAGTCGCGCTACCGAAAACCTCGTAATACGAGATTTGAAGCCTGCCTCGTGGTACAGTGTGAGGTAATTCAGACAATAATAATAATATTTATTTAATAAACATAATTAAATTCGAAAGTTAATATCATTTCAAGGAGTCATCTAACATCATGAAAAGCTGAATAAATGTTCTTTGAAAATCAGTTTAATCGTGCTCATGCCACTAAATACATTTATAACATTTGTCTGTATATTTTTTATTGATTCTATTGAAGATTAACAGCGCACAATGATGCTGGTGCCACACAAACGCAAATGGAATTTGCTACAACAACACTAAGCGGCGTCAGTATTGGACCACCCAATGACTTTGTAATGGATGATTACGACCCAGCAAAGGGATTGCCGAATCACAGAGTCCTTTACGTTGCCGTTCCACTGGTGTGCGCCATTGTTCTTGTTATCTCAGCCGTGATTTTGGGATACGTTATGTTTAAACGAAGCAGGTAAAATTGATTTCACTATTTACAGTTATTTTGGTGCCAAATACAAAACTTATTTTTTTTAATATGATCCGATACGAGCAATGAAAATAGAATTCATTAATATAAGTAGTCTAGAAAGTATCGTACCATCATCAAAATTACCATGATTGAATATCTTACTTTGAAATTAAGAATGTTCGAGATTTGAAAATCGCTAATTCGTACACATCAATCCTCATTAATTTCCTCACGAAGAATAACTGCTAGGATGTTTTTGAATTCTCACTATTAAGTGGGCATTTCTAGTAAATTCGCGCACTACTACGAAAACTGTGCACTACTGCTATTACGAGCAGTACTCATCCTATGTAATAGTGATCACTACTATAAGCACTACTCTTACTTTTTTTTTTAATTTAAATTCTAGTGTGCTGCATAGCGAGTGAAATATTATAACGAAAAATAATCAGTAGGAGCATCTATTTACCATATACAGGGTGGGGCGAAAATTGTGGTAAAACCGAAAAGTATAATATTCCTTATAGAAAAATAAACCGAAATTGTAGAATAAATTTTTTTCTACAAGGTTTCATTTTTAGGAAAATGAACTTTAAACATTAGTAGGTTATCCGTGCAGTTGACGAAGGATCGACTTATGGCATAACCTATACAACAATATTGTTACAAGATGATTTGAAATAATTTAACCGATATTCCAATCTCGAAAATAAATTAATTTTGTTAATTTACGAATTGTTGGAAATGTCGACACTATTGTTGTATACAAAGTTGTGTTGATTGAATCAGAGTCGTGTACTGTATCTAGCATGGCCTGGACATTCGATTTTTAAAACGCCTGGATGACGTAACATTCCATACAAAAACGAAAGAAAGCAGTCTCTCGAGAGATTTTCTTAAGTGGATTATTATTCAAGTACACACGTACCCGATTGATTTTGGAAGACGCATTACTGGCTTCCGTAAGACGTATACAGTACTAGACACTACTAGAAAACATTAGTAACACTACAATGTCCCAGTTAACAGATAACGTTTTAAGTTATCTTATATACGTTTTAAGATACATGCAAACTTTTATATCTTACTCAAATTTATAACACGTTATATTTGTCTTTGTTATGAGAAGGTAATATCGAATTTACATAATGTAAATCACAACTGCGAAAACGGAGTTACGGTATATTCACTAATATAAAGTACTAAATAGGATACTTTTTAATACCACATAAACAAATTTTATAGCAAATGAAATAAAATAAACAACTATTAACACGAAAAATTAAAAACAATTCAAATACTTATGGGATTCGAGTGGGTGCTTGTCGTGTCCCACGCTGATAAAAAAAAAACAATTTAAAGCTGCAAAATCATTCTAAAGAATAATTCGCTATAATATAATGAAATTGTTTCAAATTATTTTTCTATACTATTTGTATATGGATTTTTGTAGAGCACGCGGCTACCTTGGTGAAATTTTACCAGGTCATCAACAGCAGCAAGTTAGTTTGGGTTTAGGACAACAACAACATCAACATCATCACTTGTCCAGTTGTATGTCAAGCGTGCAATTGAAATCCACAGCTGAGCGTGACAATCGGCGAAATCATCAAGTTTACACGAGTTCACCCGTTAAGGGCGACAATCATAAACCAACGGATCATGGTTCAGGTTCGTCAATATTTATTAAATATTCCTCATTAATTTTGCATCATTTTATCGAACTTTTAAACTATTTATATTATTTTTAAATTAACTTTATTCATAACAAATTCAACTTAGATTTTATATTGGTACTAGTGATACTATAAAAAACGGATCCAGCAAACACCGAATAACTATTGCATTTCAGCAATATTACAATTTCTTATTCAAGGATATAACAGTTACGTATATGAAGTTCATTATAACTAGTACGTCCTTGAGTAAGAAATTTTAACATTGCCGATATGTAATTGTTACCTCGTTTGTTAGGGTAATACTGTATCTCAAATTATTTACCTTTGTTTCTTTCATTAGTACATTCTTACTAATTATATTTTAAAACTTGTGTTTTTTCTTAGCAGAAATGTACGAAATTAGTCCATATGCCACCTTCAGCGTTCCTGATAGGGAGAATCGATCCGTCACAACTGCGACACTTGATTATACGATGCAATTCAAAACGTTCGGTCATTTAGAAAATGAAGACATAAACACGATCGACTATGGACGGTCGGGCGTCGATTTTGAAAGGTATAATTACGAATAGATATTATGCCAATTAAGACTAAAAAAGTCAAAATCAGATTTTTAAAGCAAAATTGATTTATGAATATAGATCATTGTGTACACAATATATGTTTGTTATATGGTGACATAATTTATGGTACCTGCATTAAGGTTTATTAATGTCTATATACTTTACTTCACATACAGGTCGAAAACTCCGAGGTGGCACAAGCAAAGATACTTTCCAAGTATCGCCGAAGCCGAGAGTAAACTTCGTTCAAGCCGACAAGGATCCGGAAGCGATACTTCTGGCAGTCCTTGTGGCGAATGTGCAGGGCCCAGTTACCGTGTTCCTGTGAAACCTTGTAGAGGTAAAAACTTGAGCATTCAAATTTGATTTCCAAAACTATATTTTTTAGTTCGTGTTTGCATTTATAAGAAAGCTTTTGAAAAATATGCTGCAGATTTTCATATAACGTTCGATTGCGTGCTAAAAAAAATACTGTAAGATACATACTCAATCTGTAAAATTCAGCCTGTAAAACACAATAATTCATTGTAGATTTAAATGATTTCCTTTTTTTTTACTATACCACTTTACTGACAAATTCTGTAGACTATGCAGATACTTTTTGTACACTTAACAAAATGTTACAGATATATTTTCACGCGGAGTCGAATCGAGCACCGAGTCGAACAATGAAGGTTCCCCGTCATTGGCTAGACGAAGAAGCCGACAGCCAAATCGGTCCACTCGCAGGTAGCCAAGGTTTGTTTGTTTCCACATAGCATTCAGCCCAAATTTTATATTATTCGAAATGTAAAAAAAAGTGCCGTAAAAACTACCCTGGCATTTGCGATTTATCTAATTGTAAATTAAATAACGAAATTTTAAGTCGCATATTTCCCCAAGTTCTCTTCCTTGCATGTTGCTTGTTATAGATACTTATCCAATTTCAAAGTCTTGTCTATCGTAGATCATGAACATATTTACAAGAATTGTAATAATAATATTATTCAGATAATTTTACTACTATTCGTAATTGAATAATATCAGTTGATAGCAGTACATATGATCCTCAGTGGGAAATTTCACCTAAATTCTTTTTCTTTATATCTTTCTTTTGCAAACCTTGTATCATTTTCGCCATTATGCTTGTCGCAGTTCGGTCGAAGACATGACATTGCTCCCACCTTGTGGATTCAGCGATAGTCGTGAATTGAGCGAAGCGGAGTGCGATCGCGATCGTGAACATAACCATGATCAAGAATTACAGGGTCTGACCATCAACACTCGACATGGCGGTAGCTTGGGTAGGCTGCCAATTGAAGCTGTTGACACTATGTTAGCCAGGTTGGTATGCAAATGTATATTTGAAGATCTATTTTCTCTAACTCGCTTCTTTTGTTCTACAGATATCAACTAAGAAAAGAGCAGGAACGACAAGAATTCACTATACATGTATGATCGACCGTCACTAAATTGTTGGGTATATTAATGATACGTGAAGCAAGTAATGAATCCGCCTGATAACGTCAAAACAAAGACTGCATTACATTACATACACATTTTCTAATATTAAGGAGGTACACAAAGGCTGCGCCCATCTGCCAATGCTATGGAAACAACAATGGAAAATTTTAAATATGATAATGGGGTGGAACTAAAATAGAATACAATTGTTGTCGTCACGCTCGCCATTCCATACTGCCAACAGTAAAAATACAAGTGAAATAATGCAATTCGCCTTTTTTAAAAAAAGGGCACGAATTTGGAATATTGAACAAAATAAACACTTTTCGAGTTGCGAAAGATACTCGTTAATGATTTAATCATTTACTTTCTTGAAACTTTGGCGACATTTCTCAAATTTCCAAGGAAACGGAGAGAAAAGTATTGAGCTATTCTATTATTGTGATGGTTTAAGGAGTAAAAACCATCTTTTCTGTGATAAATAATAATGGATTTTAATGGAGTGGTAAACGTCTCGTCAATTATGTGTCACGCATGAATGTGTACAGATAAATACTATGAGTATTAAATTACTCACCAGGAATGTCCTTGAGACTTACGGAAGTCCTGGAATTGCGTAACAAACTTAATTGTCATATTATATAATTAGCTATTAATTTATTAATTGAAAGAGAAATTTCTAATTATCAGAAAAAATTCTGTTCATAATACATAAAACGAGCAATATCATCGCACTTACACATAAATTCCATATCCATGTATATTTATGTGAGAAATAGAATGATTCTTAGGCGTCTTGAAACTTAATGGACTGAATTCATCAATTTAAGTATGGAAGCTATATTGATCATAGTAGAATTAAATGGTGTACATCAACGCAAGATTATAGTATGATGTTTGAATGTCTTACAAAAAGTTCTTGATAAGAAAAATAATACCATTAATACATATGGACTTAACCCAAAGGTTTTGAATCATGTATTTATTTTATCAAATTGTTTAATTAATAAATGAATTGATGGAGCACATAGTATGACGACTGGTACTAGTCATCTCTCCCCTCGTTTCCTTTCTGTCGTACGATAAGTTTGGAGGATGTGGATAATTAAGCAAGTCCTATTAATGGTGTTAGATAAATAGTATATTGTGCTCAACTTTATACGCGGCGCAGAAACGCCCGTTTTCGCTCTCGGTGCACAATATACTATTCTTCAACAGCGGAGCGAACGCGAGTTTTCACGTAGTGGGTGATTCTTGGGTCGGTGCAAATAAGCAGGTTAGTTTGGTAACTTAGGAAATCACAATGAAACATCTGTGCATGGTACAGCTTACGTGAAAAAAACAATTGCCCCGGTGGTAGCTGGCCGTTGGATTCGTCGGCAAATGTCACTTCACTCCTATTCAATTGTTCAATCTTTCACGTTTCCCCATTCGAGAATTGCCCGTTTTCGCTGCGCTGTTGAAGAAAATAAATTTATCGAAATATAAATAACAACACTTTTATAATTGTGAATTTATCTGCTAACCAATATATATCGACCATATCTGTGAGAGCTAAAATCTGAAAGAACACATATGTCGCTTTTCAGGTATTGTGAAGATTAAGAATTGCGTAAAATAAAATGGACAGGATAACTTCAGTCGATAGCCAGCCTTATTAGAGAATTAAATACACCTTCTCGACACGTGAAAGACTTACTATACTTTAAAATTGAGTACAGCTCCTCTCTAAAAAGAGGTACTCTCCTTGGTTGCTCACCTGGGGTGGACTTGGTCGACATGCCCGAAATAAGCGGTGCTACATAGACTGAGAACGAGCTACCTTCCAAACTGGAACCTACACTGTGTTATTATTGTCCATGTGCTGTCAGTGACGACCATCTTCGGACATTGTCGCCCAATTTCGCTAAACTGCGGATTCTACGGCTCGTAAAACACAACTCTTTTGTACTACGTATTATATTGCGAATATTCTGAAACTATTTCATACTTTTTACTGATTTTAGTAACCAATCGCGTAGCTAATTTGAGTACTGAAAGAAGGAGAGATGAGGTACAGCTGTTTATAAATTAAAAGGGTTCACATGGTGCATGTGGGCATTACACCAGAAACAATGAATTATCAAACGATTTAGGATAAAATCAATTGAATGAATTTATTACCGACTAAGTTACGCGGACACGTCTCCACGTAATCCGATTTGTCACGCACGCACGCACACTTAGGTTTAAGTTATAAATAGTTGTACATTACATTCTTATTTTCTACATCCTTATCTTCTAAATTCTTATCTTTTATTTTTCTTCCCAACCTAAAAATTCCCATGCTTTCTATAGCTGCGAACTCTTCCAACCTGGCCAGAGGATCCATCGGTCTCAGGGAAATATAAAATCTGCTCGTCAGACCATGCTACGACGATCGGCAGTTTTGTCCACAGTCTGGTTCTATTATTTTTTTAACTACATGGCAATCTTTTCCAAATCAATAGGTCTCCCTCTCTTTTTTCAGGAAGTGTCCCCCCGGTATGTACCCTCACGGACCGAGGCTGAGCTTCTTTCTTTTTGCGATACTCTGATTTTCTGCCTCGTCCTAAACGCGTCGCTTCATAGAATATAAATTAATTAAAGGAATGCAGCCAACTTAAGTCGTATTCGATTCTCACTCTTCACACTTCATCGAAGTGTTACGTATATCGCGTTGGCTTGGATTTACTGCCCTCGATACGTCTTCCTCATTCGTTATTGAATCAGAAACTACCCTTACTCTCGTCATCGAGAAGGACCATACTTATTTATAAAGTCTAAACAAGGTACAAGGTACTGGATATTGTCCTCGCGTTGGACCTGACTATCATATGCACGTTCACATCTGTATTGCCTTTAAATCAATCTCTAGCTAAACAAATTGACTTAAACTAAATATTTCCAGTACGTTTCTCCTAAAGTTCTTTATATCAAACCCGTTCCCCGATACTACATGTATATCTTATTCTAAACATATCTTTCTTAAACCTAACTGTACTACATAGGTTGATAGGATGCTAGAAATACTATGATAAAATAACAAGGTAGTAATTATGTGATGAAACATACAGATTACGATACATAGAACCCAGAATGCAGGCAACGAGATACATCATGCTTAAATATTATTTATCGTTTAATATTTCTAATATTCTTGCGTAGCCTAATGCACTATTGGAACTGGTTCATTCATTCTCCGCACTTATTGTTAATAATGTTTGGTAAGGGATTTTTCTTATGGGGGCATGTTAGTCTAGATAGCGAAAATAAGGGTCATTTTTCAGAATTTCTTTTGTTGAAACCATCAATATCATGTCATGCCATCTGTAATACCAATACCAACTGTCTGCTCTCCAGCCCTGACAAAGTGATCTTTTTCACCTCCTCTTAGAGTCATTGGTCCTAGAGTTATTCGGTGTTTGATCTGCTCCTATTCGGCACTCTTATCTGGTGTTTAGGTGACGATGATTTCTCCCTTGAAGAAGATTGAATTTGCCTAATCGACTTTCCATGTAGGAAAGGCACAACTGTGTTTTAATAGACATTTTGAACGGGAGTGACCAATTCTCTCGAAAGTATCAATCGATGTTCAGTTAACACTAGGAGTTATCTAGACTGAGTAAATGAGTGGATAGGAATATTGTCGAGTATTTACTCATGCTTCGTAAGGGCCATTCTGAGCCTGTTCAGACGTTTCCAAACTCACCCTATCTAGTCCAGTGCTAGTACTGACTCCGACTGGTACTCCACTCAGCATGAGACTGTCTACTTCTCAACCTAGGAGTACTAAACGCGGTCTTGGTCTTAGTCTTGCCTGCACTCTAGTCATAATTCTGACAAAAAATTGCACTTCAGGGTCACCAAATTCAACTAATACTTTTGTTAGGTGACAGCCATTGCAGCACCTTCCTGTTTACTCACTTTCTCACTAGGTAGCATCGAACGTGATCCAGTTCCGCAAGCTGTCTAGCGCTACAATATGCCTTGATTCGGTGACGGCACAGGTAGCTGCAAGTGACCTCAAAAGTGTGCAATTAATTCGCTCACCCTGTCCATTCGTATGTGGCGTTGCAACTGCGTTGAGTACATGCTTGATACCATGCTCCTCGCGAAAGGCCTTAAATGTGTGTGACGTAATAGTTGTACCTCTGTCACTTATTATTCGTGTGGGTACTTCGAAAATTGCAGTTAACCGATCTAATGCAATCAACACTCCTTTAGCTGATGAATTACGTACGAGAACGCAAAATTTAGTAAATGCATAAACAATCGTCAGAATTTGCGTATTTTTGCGTATACTAGGATAAATGGTCCAGCACGATTAATACGTATCGTATGAAATGAAATGGCAACTTTCTTTATTGGATGTAACAAACTAGGGTTTCGGCCTGATGAGTTTTTGTAGTATAAACAATTTAGGCAGGCATTGACCTATTTAGCAACGAATTCTCTCATGCCATTGAAACAATAGTGCTCCCGCACTTTCTCTAACGTTCTTTCAAGTACAAAATGCCCTTGCCCGTAGTGGCATCAAGAGACTCGGTCGAGTCTCGCGCCAAGTACAGGCAACCCGCCGTACAGGGAGCGGCCCGCCGAGACTCTTTACTCGAAGCATCTCTTGTACCTGTGTTTCGACTCAAATATTTTATAAACGGCTATGTGTGAGAAAAAATTATTAATACATTCGCTATAGGAATCAAGGGTTCTGAATCGATTGCCACCAAGTTCAATACGATTAGTGTACGAGATCAGGGCGTATTCACATGGCGAGCGAGATAATTTTATTTCAGTTCCGTCGTCATTGTCGTCGTCGTAGTCTTCACCCGTCCACCTACTTTTTTAGACGACGACGACGACGACGACGACGACGAAAAAATTATCTCGCTTGCCATCTCAATACGCCCTAATCTCGTACACAAATCGTATTGAACGTAGTGGCAATCAATTCAGAACCCTCAATTCCTATAGTGAATGTATCAATAACTTTTTCTCATGTATCGTGGTTAATAAGATATTTCGTTCCAAACACAGGTATAAGAGTTGACTCAAGTAAAAAGTAGGAGTAGGAGTAGGAGGACCCGCCAAGTAGTACTCGATAAGGAATCACCTAAAGTTTTATTAGTTATTAAATGACCATTAAATCATAATTAAATACGGAAAGCAGTAGTAATGTAAAACAGTAGCGAAAACATTATAGGAAATTTTGAAAATACAATTAAAATGATGCGCCAGTGCTAGATCATATAATAGGCAAACAATGAGTGACTTATGTACTTGGCCTCAATAATCTGATATCAATACTTTTTATTAGAGGAATACACAGCACTCCTGTGCTTGGCGTAGTTTTTTACACGTCAGTGTTTTTTTGGGGAATTGCTTTTATCGCTGCTGTGGAAGGAGAGAGAATGGAAGAGGAGTCTTAGAAACTACGAAAAGAATTTTATCAACAAAGAACTATTTTTTCAAATCAATTAAATTTGTTTAGTTGTATTAACCAAGAAAGTTTTGAACTAAACCAATATGAGATATATTCCAATAAACATCTATTGACGCAAAAAAGAATTCTATTCAATAAATTGAAACATTTCTGGAACATACAAGTTGCAGTCTATCCTACTGATTATCTATTTATGTAAAACACAACTCAGTTCAAATTTATGAAATAAATATGCTGTTCTTTGATATTGTTTACCATTAAGTATGGCTTACTGCTCGTTGCCTTCGATTTAAATGTGGTATTAATAATGTCCAGAGCAGTCGCCCGCGAAGCGGAAAGCCAGTTGGAGGGGTTGAATTCCTGCATTTTTACGATGAATCCTGCTGCTATGAGAAATATGTGAATTATCTAAATCAATCTAGAGATGGCCATCGAGACCAGAACCTGAGCTGTTCACGAGATAGCATTCCGCTTAGCCCAATCGACTGTCGAACACTTCTGGGAGGGTCGATAATATTTGTAAGATATAAAATGTTGCTTACCCGCATTACTTTGAATGTAGTAGGTCAGTTGTGGCATAGTTTCGGAGACACTAATAAAATATAAAAAAAAACATATTGACTTTTAGTTGTATTGAAAAGATATGTACTTTTCTTTAAAATAAAAATAATAAGTTTGAACTAAATTAACTTCTGTTGAAATTCAATAAAATATGAGACTAACCGAATAGTTAGTGGTTACTGCTAAGCAAAACAAAAATATTGTTTTACTCTACCTGCTTATTACTTTCAGTAAGTATTCATAAATCTAATCTGTAATCGATCAAAGCAAAATTCGGTGAAAGAAATGTTCATCACAACTGCACCACAGCTTAAAAGAAGCAAATCATTTAATTAACTTTAATCATGTTTTACTGCTAATTAAAGCAACTGCACATCTGTTTCGAGACAAATGTATTTTATTTGAAGCAATAAAAAAAGACTCGTGGTTTCACTTATTTCTTTAAATAACTCACACTACTGAAACGAACTATAAATATGCTTTTGATTTGAATAGTTTCATCTTTGTAATAACTATCTCATGGCTGGAAATAACCAAATTAAATATTTGGTGAAATCCGCCAATTTTTTGTGTGAGTGTATGCATCACAATCTCTATAGCAATAGTATCAATTTAGGAGTTACTTTTCAAAAAAATTTAACTTTGAAAAATTCAGAAGAGGGACCTCAATCGTTTTTAACATGGTGACGACGGGTTTCAGATGTCTCGATGAGAAGATCTTGTTATTATTTATTTAATTAGGTGCTATATTTCTCTTTTGCTTTTTTCAAGAGGGAGGGTGGGCAAAAGTGGTAATATAAAGTTTTCAATCAAGAAAATTGTAAATAGTAGGATTTTCGCAAAGATTTTTCATCTAAGCAAACTTGAGTATACATAATTTACAAAAATTTGCACATGTATAACCAAGCAGACATTAGTAAAGAGGGAGTTAATCGCATCAGACTGTGTCTAACAACTATTCGGCACAGTGGATACGAGAGATCCGTTGGAGCCAGCATACAAGTTTTGGACGGGGTTGAAATTCTACACACTACTTTTAACATTAAGAATATACGGGGAACCGCCATCTCTACGAATATCTCCTCAGTGCATCTTTTAAGTTTATTTTTTAAACTTATGAGTCTACTTTTTTATGTTAGGATCACCAATTCTACCTCTAGTCAACAAGTATCGCCGATGAACTTTGTCACTTCTGTATTAAAATGATAACAATTTATCCCATCGGATTATACTAAAATAATATAGGTACAAGGAAGGCCAATTTTCAAGATAATTCCTATTCTATTCAATGTATTAATAAATAGTGTTTATTGAAGGAACTCAATACTTCTTGCAAATTGTCATTTAATGCATAATAAAGTATTGTTTGCCAACATTGTCTTATAATAATTTCAATTCTATCAAGAAATTTGTCGAAAAGTAAAGACGAGAAATTATGCGTAATATCCAAAGTAATCTGTGCATTGTAGTTCGCTTGAACTACGTATTAAATTTTAATTTTCACTTTAAAACATATAAATTATATTTAAAAATTAATGTATTATAAATAAATGTTAAAGCGATCTCCCTGAGCATCGGTATTATTTCTTAAAGAATATTTTTTTCAGACATCTAGAGTGATTGTAATTTAGATGGCATACTGTCATCTCTCGTGAATCTCTGTATACAATAGGAAAAAAACAAAATCCATGATTTAGAATTTCATGCGTTCAAAGACTCACGGAAAATATCTTTTAAAAAACTTTTGATCTACACAGTATTCCTCTTTCTGTACCCATTATCACGTGTCGCAAACATTTGTTTAGTATCATTAAAGAAAACGGAGTACTTGCATGATAAGTTTTCAAGTGGTATATCTTCATAATTAAAATTCTATAATAAACACCAAAGAACTACATGACAAATTGGCCTTAAAATATACATTTATTTGTACGAATAATTCGTTACGTACAAATCATTCTTAACGTTTCATAATTATAATCTAAAACCCACCATTTTGTTTGCAGCTATTTCATCTATCTGCACAACTACCATTGCGCATGAATATAGAAAAATCCAAAGAAACTTGGGAGTTTTGTAAAGGTCAGTTTTACACATTATTCTTCGTTCTCATCCGCTTGCTTCCTTTGATTTTTTGAGGATTCGGCGTTGTCGTCCTCATCATCGACATTTTGCACGAGAAATTCGTCCCAGCTTAGTCGGTAGTTTCTACTCTTTGTAGCAACGCGAAATGTCTGCCATCCTCCACATCTTTGACGGCATCCCGGCTTAATTTATAACTTGGACGAGCAAGAGTTTTTTTATGTATACACTATTTTTACTTATTTAAGTGCCTCGGCGCCATTTCTCGCCGTTACTAAACTTTGTCATTTCTCGTCCGCTTACACCGCAAGTACCGATTCCAACTCGACCGTTTACATTTTCGGGTGTAGCAAATATGCTCTTCTTTACAACGCCCTTCTTCGAAGACTGCAAATAAAACGTATGTCCAATGTACAAATTTCTACCAGCTAAGAGTCACAATCAAAATGTATTTAAAATCAGTAAAGGACCTATTGCAATATCTTAAGGTCAATTTTAAGTTTCAGTAAGATTAAAAAATCTGTACAATTTAGGGATTCAAAGATAAAACGGAGATTGAAGTTTAACTAAAAAATACTGCAATCGGTGTTAAAAAATATATTATATATGATAGATATTTTTGTTATAAATTGAACAATTCATTTTGTTAGCTTAACTGTTTCTTTATGCTTCACGTGAATTCAGTATCACGCAAAACAATTTGGAAATAAAAGTAGTAAACAATAACATGACCATGATCAACCATTCAAAAATTCGATCGGTAAACCAAATTTTACACTACATTTTTACATACAAATTTTACACGTACGTTACTTGACTTACCTTAGTCGTGAATGCCAACCATTTATTTTTCTCCATTTCGCGCTCCTCTTCCAATTCCTTGAAACGCTGAAGTTTCTTCTGCTTCTTTTTCTTAAGATACTCGCGCTGTTTGTTTGGATCTGAACCAGCCACTGCAGCAGCTTGCATTTTTCTGCAAATGAAGAAACCTATTATTCACGTAGATAATTGCTATCGATATAAGGAACACATACCAAGATTCTAATTGCAATGAAACGAACACTGGACACAGACTTTTATGTATATACTCGGAAATGATGTATTTTCTACAGTTTTTCGTAAATATTTTATATTGAAAATGATAGTTCCTTTTTTCAAGCAGCGCAGTAATGTTCCTCGCATATCTTAAGAAAATTGTGAAGTTTAATCAATAAATGATTCAGAATAAAAATATGAACAGGTATACAAAGTACTGGGTTAACATGAAAGTAATGAGACACTCTAGAAAACTCGACATATGTCCTTTTTTAAATTAATTGTTTTTGACCATATTCTAGTATGTTGTAGAACATTCTAGATACTTCCGCTCTATGGGTATATACAATAGAATATGTTCAAAAACAATAATTTAAAAAAAAGACATGTGTAGAGTTTTCTAGAGTGTCTCATTACTTTGATGCTAACCCAATATATACCTATGAAGGAAGATATCATAGTATTATATTAATCAGTTGTATATAAATTGATATATGAATTGTAATATTGGTTGACTGCTTTCTTTTACCTTTTTCTGATATTATTCATAGTATATGCACACAGCACCAACAATCAATCAAAAGTGTTAAGAAGATTTGGACCAGTCAGCATACAATGATATGGAGGAGGTCATCGTTGTAGGAAATGATGAAACAAGGAAAAAAGGCAGTGATTAGGGTTCGATTAGATGTGTAAAAGATTTCTTCGCCATCGATCTGTATATATATACACGTCCAACGAACATAAATTGCTGGTATAAAAGCATTAAAGTTTCAAAATGTTTAAAATGAAGTAGTATCAATTAAACCTTTCGTTTTTTAGGAGACTGTGAATTCGAGTAATCATCTTGGAGCCCTATGTCGCAGTGGTGGATGGTTGTCTAATTGATAAACGTTTTATTAAACCGAAGTAAATGCTTACAGCAGATCTATATATGAAGATATTCTATTGAAATTAAATTCACTATAACATGTTTAATTTTCAATGGCCGATTGATCTGCTATCCAATTAACATCAACACGGGATTGCAAACAGAGTTGGAAATATAGAAACACACTATTAATTCGCTTACTGCATGCTAAGCATAAAGAGGAATTTAACATCCACTCATTATGTAACAATTATTATATCTACAAATTATTATATATACAACTAGTGTAGCTTTGTCCATACCCTATTTAGATATATAATTTGTTCTTCTAAAAGATAGTTACTGCATTACACTTTGTGCTATGCATATTCTTAAGTCCATTTAATCATAAACTGTTATATCACATTTTGAATGAAGTACTCTAACACGTGCCACAGTTATGCTTTTCATGTGTATTTACACATTAACATAAATCTCATTTGTGAGATAATTTCATGTCCACTATTGATAAGCATTCAGAATTATCCTTATTTCGTTGCGATCATCAAAATGACTGTTTTCCAATTTAAGTGCATTATGCATATTTATTATGCAGTCTAGCAATAAATAACTTTGCTCATCATAATTATGTTTGCAGTTCACAGTCCCCTACATAATTTCTTTTTTATAAATATTTTAATTTTTATCAAAATAATCTGAAGTATTTTTTTCATAACAAATCCCGTAATAGTAAAAATAAATCAATAATTCAGTCATTTAATGTTTTCTCATAAACAACATGTTAAATGAAATTATAATACAGAAACTGTATAAAACTCAAAAAGCCCAATTGGGGGAAACAATGATTTAAAATCTATTTCTTATCTGAAAGGATAGCCTTAATGGGAATTTTCTAAAAAATGCATAATTGTGTCTCAAACTACAGATACCCTTTGACACTTACTTGGATTTTTGATCAGCCCAATCGGATGCAGGTCTCTTAGCTGCAGATTTTAGTTGGCTCAACATTGTTACATCAGTATTTTTATATTCGTTGAAAGTTACGTTAACAACTCCCTCTTCACTTATAGCATCTATCGTTGCTTCGTAGTATCTACACATAAGAATAATGGTATCTTTCATAGAGAATTAATTATATTACACATAATAAAAGCACCGAAGGAGATTTTATGAGAATATAGTTATGCAAACAATTTTTTAATCATAATTTTTTGTGTAAGATTCGTTTACTTACTTTCCATCTTCGCTCCATGGTGCCATACATTGATCACCAATTTTCCATTTATTTGCTAAAACAGCTAACAAAATTGGATCTTTCGCATCCATTCCATTGGACTGTCTTTTCTCTTGTTGTTGTGACTTAATTAAATCATGTGTCAGTTCAATGACCTCCTCCAAATCGATTTTCAATTTAAGCAATTCTTCATTGGTTGGGTCCGTAGTAAGTGCCGCTTCAACCTAAATAATAAGAAAACATTATTATAAAGCACCAAAACAGTACACAAAATTCTGATCATTCATAAAAGACATCCATAAGTGCTGCGAAAAAGTGAGGTTAACTTGCATAAAATTCTTACTTGTTGGAGTTGTAGCTTATAATTTTGTAGGTCATCCATGATGACGATTTAAATTTTCAATAGTTATGTTCAATTTTCAAAAATAATTTACACTTTCTCGAATGGTGATAATTATTAGTCGTTGTAACTGCTCAAAAACAATCTACTATAAACTGCTGAAAACGTACTCTAAACGTAAGATGGCGATTCAGTAGTAGAGTAAACAACGATTCACAGCACCCGTAACTCAGTTTAATCAAAGCATACTTGCGCGAAGTTGGCCGCGCAACTTTGACGTTTTAAGCCTTGGTCTTTTCTTTTACATTGATGCTTTAATTAAAAAAATAGGTAGTGAACCATTTTTTACATAATCAAAATAAATTTCGCTCTGAAGGTAGCCGCTCGTATTTTATTTCTTGACTGTTTGCATTAAAATATTCAAAATCGAATCCAAAATCTGGTCTTCTTGTATTAGGTGCACGCAGTTCTTGATCACTGCAAAGTTGCAAGTTGTTCTCTGGAAAGTTGCATTTGATACTGAAATTTTAAGTACCCCAAACAGAACCATCTCTGAACTCACGATAGTTGGAGGACGTTACGACCAATTGTCGACTTCAGAAACTTACTGCGCGATTTCATTGTAAACAAGCTGCAAGTTGAAACTTGCAATTTGCTTCCTGCGAATCGTAAGTAATGTACGAAGTCCTTATATGAGGAAGCATTTTCATTTTTTTTAATCTTTGGCTTCCTCATAGATGAATTTTCATCTACTACCTACGATTCAAAGGAAGCAAATTGCAAAATTAAAATTCTTGGCATCCTCATATAGGGACTTCGCACACTACTTACGATTCGCAGGAGGCAATTTGCAAGTTTCAACTTGCAGCTTGTTTAACATGAGTCCCCATGCCTCTCACAACTTGAGGTGTTTCATACTGTAGAGAACGCATGTAAGGATAAATCTCTTGCATGATCTCTTCGGGCCTAATATTTTTAAATTGACTGAAATTCAAAAACTTGAATATATGTATAATCAGATCCGTTTTACCGATCTCCGCCAAATTTGAGACATATCACGGCTAAATGATACTATATACTTTTCGAAAATTGGAGCTCAATCGCTCAAAGTTGACGCGAGTTATATTGATAAATTTAATTTTTCGAAAAATTCAAAATATCATAAAGTCAAAACTTCTCCATGGATTCGACCCAAATGCAATACCAACCAACCTTGGATACAAATCTCTTTCTCAAGAACTATTTACACGATTATCACAAAATTTGCAATCGCTAGAGTGATAACGTCCTTTTTTTGGAAATTTAAAAACGATATAAAATCCGAGCCGCAGCATGAACCATGACGAAAATTATAGTCAATGAAGGGATTATATGTAGAGCTGCATATGCCTGCAAAATTGGGGGGCTGTAGCTAAAACCGTTCTCGAGTTATACACGTTTGAATTTTGGGAGGCGATTACACACACACACACACACGCGCGCGCGCGCGCGCGCACGCACACACACATCCGAACATTTTTTCCAAACTCGTTTTCTCGACGTTTTAGCACATTCTGAACATGGTGACATGAAAATCTCGACAGGAAAATTTTCCACCGATTCATACCTTCCTCTATGAGGAAGTAAAACCAGAGAATCCACTTGGTTTCTCGTATTTGATACCCATTGCCTTTAGCCAGTACAAAGTTGAAAGTCCTTCTCTATGGGACATGTCCCTAAGGTGGGGGAGGGGGGTACAGCTATAAGGAAAGAAAGGAAGGAAGTCGTTCTCTAGGAAACAGCATAAGACTGCCCGAAATCATAATCAACGTACTCTATCGTATCTTTTACAATTTTGCATTAAACCAACTGGAAAAAAGTACAGCAGCCAAAGAACAGTGTTGGGAAGAAGATGCACGTGAAAAATGGCAACAAATTGTTTTTGACGATGCTAGGGTCCAAGGCGAGCCAGGTTGTTGGATCTTCGTGATCGCATGTATTCGTCTTCGGGGCTAGCTGCCCGAGACGCTGAAACACGGAGTTTGGTTCTCGTAATGGAGAAGACAGCAGGGCTGAAGTGGTCCCAAAGGAAGAGGAAATAAATGAATCACTTATTTTTTATTAAGTTATTCAAATACATCTGTCTTTGTACAGTGTTTATTAAATACAGAGTTGAGGTAGTATGGTAGAGTTTGGCTGAAGTCAAATCAATAGCTATATATAATTTGTTAAATTTCATTTTAAACAATTTTAAAAATATATTACAAATGTGAATTTAATACTAGCAAATAATAATTATTCCGATAAATAAATCATAATGCTTACTGAGAAAGAAAGAGATAGCTGAACCCCTTTAGCTATCCGTCTTTGCACCCTGATTTGCATCTATCTCTCTCTTCGCCGCTGCCGCGTCGAGAGCTGGCTTGTCTGCTCTATCTGTATTAACTCTATGGACTTTACTCGAAGCATCTCTTGCACCTGTGTTTCGACTCAAATATCTTATGAACAACTGTATGTGAGACAAATTTATTGATACATTCACTGTAGGAATCAAGGGTTCTGAATTGATTGCCACCAAATACAATACGATTAGTATACAGGATCAGGACGTAGTCGCATTGGCGAGCGAGATGATTTTATTTCAGGTCCGTCGTCGTCGTCGTCGTTGTCGTCATCGTCGTCGTCGTCTTCGCACGTCCATCGCCTTTTTTACACGACAGATGGCGCTGACTGCTTTGCCTTCTTTACCTATTTGTACTCTGTATGGTGTTAGTAATTTACGAATACACAACACAATCAAATACACTTTATACGTGAAGCTACCGTTCATACCGAATTTCCAGTTAGTATAAGGGTGCTTCCATAACAGTATAGAATTATTCAGTTTTTAATAGCATTCATATCGAGCGCGCGTATATGGATGTATGTATATGTGTGCTTCGGCATAGCTCCTCGTATTTTAGGTGACAGTTGGTCCAGGTGTTCCGTAAAAGAGGAAAAGAAATAAGAATGATATGTTCTTAATAATAAGTATTACACACGGCCACAGCTCCTACCGTTGTCTTGCTTTATTCTTTTTTTCACAGAAACAATAATTATGGTACACGTATGATGTTTCGTTAAAAATCTACAGCAATCACAAATATTGCTAAGATCTATATACATATATAGACAAAATCCCCAAATAAAAACATAATCTTATACATATATAATGTAAAGTGCACAAAAGATATGCGCAATTGCTAAAAATACACCATACTATGTAAATAAAAAAATTGCAATTTATTAAAATTATTGTAAACTTATTAGGTTCAAACAGATACAACATATGGAGAATTTTTCTTGGTATTTTGTCTTTTGCACATGTGTGTTTCTTCTCATTACTTTGTTTTTATCCAACTATAATTAACGATACGTATAAATCTCCTGTTCTTTACTCTTCAATCGCACGCTTACAAAAAGTAAGAATGGAGACGTTATACTTATTTTTTTCTGGAAAATATCAATATTCAAATATTATCGAGGGCCACGTACATAAATGACGCCCATATCGAAAATTTAACAGCGGTTGTAATCTATTTATTTTACACGAGAACATTGAGGCTGATATTAATATATGAGTTGAGTCTCAAAGTGTAAGTTATATCCAAAAATGACGACTCTAGGTTGAGAATGGTGTTAACAAACTTCATTTTGAAGTAGAACGCATTCCTATTTTTGAAGCAGAACTATTAAACTCGTTGTCGGCTTAGGGACCCAAACTAATGATGTCAGTAGGAATCTCAAGTTAAAATTCATTTTCGGCTATTCACTTCTAAATCTCTGTTTACCCGCTTTTGATAAACCCACTATTAGCCTCAAAGTTCTGCATATAGGATCTCGTAGACTAAAGGGGGGTGAACTGGTGTTACACTTCAATTGGCAAACCTAAAGAACAAAGGAATGCAGATTGTATGGGCTCATACCGTTGCTAGATTTTCGACTCGGGCACTTTTTTTTCATTACAGCGGTACAATAAATAACTACAAATACATGGCATATACAATTACAAGCACGTTGCCTTTAAAATCACTACAACTTTCATGATAAATTGAAAATACATGACATATAGTCTCTACAGAATGTTTCACACTTTCGTGTCCCTATATATCTTTCTAATGTACGTCGATAACCACGTGGGGCGTACATTATTATCGTTGATAATAGTCAAAGTCCCCTATAATTGTCAATTGCGTTGGTTCCTTGGAATGATTTGTTGGCAGTGGACAGCTTTCCTCGTATCATAAATACATAACGCGTACCTAATATAACAATCTAAAAATTTCTATTCGATCAATTTTCAACCTCACATACGTAAAATGTGAGCATGGTCATTAATTTTTTTTTTTCAAAATCACAAAAACCTTCCATACTTTGATAATGTCAATATGACAGTCTCAATTTGGATTTATGTATGAGCAGCTCGTGGTATTGGAATACCAGGTACATCGTTGAGTATCAACGTAGCGACAGGCTCCTGTCTAGGATCAGGGTTCACTCTTCTGCCACCTGGTGGTACGTAACACCACCACGCTAGGAAGAAGAAAAGCAGAGATGCTGCTTTACCAATAAAGGCTAAAGCCAGCATGTACCTGAAGCCAAAAAAAATCAATCAAATATCTTCAAGTCTTATAAACGTGCGGAATATGAGTAACAGTTACATATCGGTGATATTACAATATTACACTCAGTGATATTTACATTAGAACATCGTTTATCCGAGGTAATATGGGGAAGAGATACCTCGGATAAGCGAAAACTCGGATAATACGGAAAACATACACAATTTAAACACTTGTATTATTTTTATATATTTGAAATAGTAAAATAAAATTTAACTCCATCAGCATACATACAGGGTGGTCCACGGAACTTGCACACCTGTTATAATTTTTAAACGATGCATCCTAAAGAAAAATGTTGTATATAAAATTTGTACGGTTTTAAAAGATACGTTATGTGCTGCATATCTTTTTTTATTCTGGTGGAGGCGTTTCGCAGATTTCAAGGTCAACGTCGTTTTTTTAAATGGAATGCTATATTTTTTATACCAAATTGTGGCAGTACGCAGAATTGTGAATAAAAAAGTACTGACCTTTATCAACCGTAAACCTAATAACTAACGAGTAATTTCACTTTGTTTCTTGAAAACTGTCTTCGCGTAATATCAAGCTAGGGATTGATTGGACCATATTTTATTGATGGTCGACTAACGGGACAAAAATATGCGTATTTTCGAAATGAAACTTTACCAACTTTATTAGAAAATGTAGCGTTAAATGTTCGTACACAAATCTGGTACCAACATGATAGATGCCCTGCACATTACGCACGTAATGTTAGGCAAGTGCTGGATAGGAAATTTCCCAATCGATGGATTGGTCGTAGTGGACAATTTCTGTGGCCTCCACGCTCACCGGACCTTACTCCTTTAGACTATTTTTTGTAAGGCAAGTTAAATGATACGATGTGCAATGAACCACCGACAACACCTAAGAATATGAAGCACCGTATTCATGAAGCATGCATGACACTCAGTGCGGACATAAATCAACGTTCAGTGTCATCATTAATTAGTAGATTGCATCACTATGTTAATGTTAATGGATATCAGTTCGAACACTTACGTTAGTTGCGATATTACGCGAAGACAGTTTTCAAGAAACAAAGTGAAATTACTCGTTAGTTATTAGGTTTACGGTTGATAAAGATCAGTACTTTTTTATTCACAATTCTCCGTACTTTCACAATTTGGTATAAAAAATATAGCATTCTATTTAAAAAAACGACGTTGACCTTGAAATCTTCGAAACGCCTCCACAACAATAAAAAAGGATATGCAGCACATAATGCATCTTTTAAAACCGTACAAATTTTATATACAAAATTTTTCTGTAGGATGCATCGTTTAAAAGTTATAATGGGTGTGCAAGTTCCGTGGACCACCCTGTATAAACGTGAGAATATAACTCGTCCGTTTTATCCGATTTTTCCCGTATTATCCGAGCATACACCTCGATTAATGCGAATTACTTGAATAATCGAAGATCGGATAAACAAGCTTCTACTGTATATATGGAATATAGCAGTACAGATTTCATACATCAAATATTTTATAACTATTATACCGTTGAATGTAAAATTTTAACGTTCTAGTTATGTAACTGTTACATACATACATATATCTCTATAATGCTTTTACTAATATATGAAACTTGGAATTTATTAAATTTCTCAAAATATAAGTTTGAAATAAAAAAGATTGTAGATATATCATTTTATTAACTATAGAGATCGTACTCATACGTTTTCAAGTCTCACCTGCTCATATAAAAATTGTCGTAAACAAGACAAGCACCGCGTCCATCACAGGTTTCGTGCCAAAGAATGCAAGTTTCATCAATAAGGATACCAAAAACCATTGGTGCCGGGATAGTACCTAGTATCCTGACCTTGATCCATTGAATGCCTAGGGCGAAGGAACGTTGGTCGTCGCGAACAACACGCAACGTTGCCGACAGAGCCGGCATTGTACAAATAAACGTCATGAACATATTACAAAATGACAGGACAACAAAGAGCCACAAATAGTTGCAGCTGCTGGTGCATGTAGTGTTCATGGCCTTGTAAGCGACGACTTGACTACTTGAACTTGTCGTCAAATTTATTGCGGGCTGGTCAATGCAGCTGCAGTCAGAGTACACCTGCAAATAGTAAAATTTAGTATCAACTTTCCAGGACAACAATAAAATAAATTAAGGTCATTCACTGAGAATGTCTTTCTTAACATCTTGAATATAACGAACGGGACAGGTAGTCCAGATTTGTCTACTCTTATGGACTGTCAAGAATTGCTATCAATTTGCTTACAACTTGTTACTCGGGTCTTTTTTGGGGTCGCTAATTTCGATTTTGAATTTAAATTTTCAAATGTCGGACCAATATTTAAAAAAGTAGTGCGGTTCACGTAAATATCGGTACCCAAGGATTTTTTGGCTAGCACGCAAGCGAATTATGAATTAGAAAATTTAACGTGAAAAATTCAACATAATAGACGTGAAAGTGCATACATTTGTTTGTGCAATTTAATTTGGATGACTCAAATATGAGCTTCGTAAAAATTCTTAAGCTTAAAATTCGTTGTCACGCCGCTTAACAGTTCCCAAATATAAACACGTAAAATTATTAGCACTGTTCCCAAAGTATGCAATGCCCTCAAAATAAAATATCTTTTGCATAAAATTTCGCATCCCCGAAGAATGTCTCACATACATATATGTATATGCTTAAACATACACTACCGGTCAAAAGTTTAAGTTCACTTGCTTTATTTTTGAATTCTACACAATTTAGTCGGTTACTCAGTGAATTTTGTCAAGCACGTGCCTCTTACATATAACAAGTCGATACACGCTACTGGTCAGAGTGTAGGAGGGAGTTTGCCGTGTTTGGGAGACGCGTAGATCGAGCACAATCTTGTTATGACAGGTTGCATTCTCTCGATGCGTCTAGTGCATATTACGCGTAACATCTTAGTGCTTGAGAGCTCTTTCCAAAAGTTATATTTCCAATTGTTTTTCATATTTTTCTTTACAAAAAGTTAAGTACAACATTTATCATATTCAAAATCGTTACTGTTAAAGAAAAATTTATATTTAAATTGACGTAATTCGACAAATATCATCTCATTATTGAAATGTGAAGAAAACTACATATTTTATGTGTCAATCGTAGAGAAATGGGTCGAAAAGCAGAGCTGAGTGTAGAGACACGAGCAGTCATTGTGGCATTACACGGAGAAGGTTATTCAACGAGAAAAATTGCTTCTAAATGTGATGTTTCTCAAACTGCAGTCATGGGAGCGTTACAAAGAAAGCGAGGTGAACCTACACTTTTGACTGGTAGTGTACATATACATGAATTATCGCATACTTAAACAAATCAATCTTTTTTTGCTAGCTTCATGAATGGTTCAAAGGTTCTGCAATACGTTGGCAGTGTTTCTCAAACTGCAGTCATGGGAGCAATGTGAAGAAAACTACATATTTTATGTGTCAATCGTAGAGAAATGGGTCGAAAAGCAGAGCTGAGTGTAGAGACACGAGCAGTCATTGTGGCATTACACGGAGAAGGTTATTCAACGAGAAAAATTGCTTCTAAATGTGATGTTTCTCAAACTGCAGTCATGGGAGCGTTACAAAGAAAGCGAGGTGAACCTACACTTTTGACTGGTAGTGTACATATACATGAATTATCGCATACTTAAACAAATCAATCTTTTTTTGCTAGCTTCATGAATGGTTCAAAGGTTCTGCAATACGTTGGCAGTAGCAATATTCGTCGATAGCCAATAGAGATAATTTTGTATTAGTATTATATAATACAAAAATAAAAAAATGAATGCAGGAAATGAGCGATATCAACTAACTACCTTTGTTATTCAAGTGACCCATTTTTTAATTAAAAAAAATTTAATTGTATCATTATTAGAAATTTACCTTAACATTGTTTATTGAGACTTCCTTGTTACAACCTGCATGACAGGGAGAATAGTAGGTGACATTGTCGACGCCACAGATCGGATTAAATTCAAATATTGAGCAGCCACAACCACTGTTGCAGGTATCATTCAGTGATAATCCTTTACTGCAATAAACTTTTTTGTAATTTAAATTGTAATAGTATGCGGTAACATTGCGTATAGAATATCATAACAAACCTAATAGAATTATGGTAGGGTACTGTTAAACCAGCAAAACCTAGGTTTGGACAATTTAATGCGAAGCACAGTGTAAAAATTATGCATGCTGCAGTGGAGAATAGACAGAACTTAAGGATTCCTGAACAAGGCAAGTTCCAGCGTTTCACCAGATAACCACCTAAGAATGTTCCACCACCTCCAGCAGGTACAGTAACGAGTCCTAGGATAATTAAGAATCATAAATAAGATGCTACGAAATTATATAAATAATATATCTCTTCAATTTTATAAATATGTAATAATAACATATTGCGCAAAAACGTTTTTATGAAATTATAAAGAGTCTAAATAAATAAAGTTATATACAGGGTGTTCATTATGAAACGCACTGTAGTAACATCGTTGCATTCCTTGTAAAATTCCAAAGAATACGTGTATTTTCATTTTCTATTTCATATATCAAAATTTCGAGATAATCAAGGTTGAAGTTGCAGTAATGCGACCAATCAGAACGTGTTTAAACGGAGCGTAGATGACGTCGCGAGCCAGCCCGCAAGGCCTGCTTACAGGAGGCTAATAACACTAAGATTATCGTC